GCAGGAACTAGGGGACAATAACCTCGCCAGCAGCAGCCATCCTCAGTTATCTCTCCGAGACATCCTTATAAAGCGTGCACTCGCGCGTCTTGAGGACCCAGGACCACAAGGCGACAGTGGTGGCGTTTATCTTTGTGCTCTGGAACAAAGAGAATTGAAGCAAAACATGTGTAGGCCAGTCTGGCTGTTTTCTGCAGTAGATTCAGTGGTTCTTGAAAAGCATCTTGGTAGGAAACAAACTGAAAACTAGCTGACAAGGGCTGAAGGAATCCGTTCTGTAAAAACAAGTGCCTTAAATAGCTGGAGGTAACCTTGATGTTTCTTAAACCCGCATGCTGAACTTTTCAAAAACTCAGAGTAAATCTCACTGTACAATTCATCAGTGTTTTAACAATGCAAGTGCAAATGGGTGTATATTCTGCTTTTAAGAAATGGGTATTTCTTCGACTAGTGCCTGCTTGGCGCAGGTGAAAGGGTTTAATTGAAGCAGATACCTGGTTTCCCAAGTGTAGGAAAGTTGTTTCCTCCCTTGAAACAGCAAGGATAAAAATGTGTCAGCGTTCACGTGAGGATTTTATCACTATTAGTCTGGCCTCCCTGAGAATGCTGGGCAAACAAACACTTTCACTATTTTAGAAGGGCTGTCCTTGTTTTCAGAGTGCTGGCTTGCTATGCTCTGGACAAAACCAGATGGTGAACTGGACCTAGGAAATCAGTAAAGAAGAATTCGAAGGGAATAGCCTGAGGTGTAGGTGGAGCAGCCCAGGATGGTGAGTACAGCTGGTGTACACTGAGCTAATTTGTCACTTAAATTGTCAGCATTATTTTTTTAGCTCGAGACTGGATGATCCATGTGGCGAATCTGTGTGCTTACAGCCTTGAGGAACCAAGTATTCAGATGATGGTCACTTTCTTTCCATAGTGGCAGATGTTGAACTTGAACAGCAAAATTCTGATCTTTGTCTGCTGTAACTTCCTGTATTTATCACCAGAAAAGAAAACTACAAGTGATCATGAGCTACAGAACGCAGAAAGCAGAGGGTCCCATCAGCTGGAACTCTGCAGACTTGTTATGCCTGCTTTAAAGTTAAGGACCCAACTGAACTAAGCTAAGGTGACTAATAATGGCCCTCTCTGTATGACTTTTCCTTATCGTGCTGCTTTGCATGTATAAAGAAAAGATTTAAAGCCAAGAAAATGTCTTTTAAACTAATTATGTTTGAAGATGTCATCTTGTGCTTTGGTTTGTCATAACAGACAAGTACTGAAAAAAACTGGGAAATTTTGTTCTGTGCAATAAATACAAATTCACTTTTTAGATAAATTTTGACCCTACCAAATATTAGTGAATTCTAATTATCCTTGGATAAGTTTTCGTTTATTTAGATAACTGATTGCTAAAGGAAGACTTTGGTAGCCTAACTGTAAATTCTGATTTACTTGGCGCGTTTAGCCTTTTGCTCTTACTACATACTAAATCCGTCCTCAGTTTCTCCATCATTCCAGTGAGTACTTGTTTTTAAAAACTGCATACTTTTTTGGTTTTTTGTAAACTGAAAAGATGACCTTTTTAAACTTTAGATAATTTAGTGCTAGTATGAGTTTGCTTTTACTTTATTTTAGATTTCTTTACAGGAAAAACAAAACAAAACCTCAATTCTAACTTGGGAACAAGCTCACATGGGGAGGAAAAAACACTAGATTTTATGAGGCTAGTCCTTTGTTCTGTGTACTATTTTAAAATAATTATTATGCATAAATATGCATAAATATGATGCACCTAAAGAATAATCTCTACACTTCATATTTTTTTTCTTTTTTTCAATTTTGATAAAAGCCTACTTCCCACTTACACGCAAGAATTTTAGCTTCTGAACTGGTTGCACTTTTTCTCATGCTAATAGAAGAAAGCACATATAAAATACTAATGTCAAAATGTCCAAAATAGAAGACTAAACATAGAAGAACATTTTAAAATAAGTATATTTGTCATGATTTGACACGTTGATTCCTTTTGTTTACTGCTATATTGAGAGAAAAAAAAACCCAATAAGTCTCTCTTTGGCTAGAGTAAACATTGTGTACATTTAGTCTCTGCTGGGTATGTCAACGAATTAGAAATCCTTTCAGTTTATCCACAGAAACAATGAATTATACAAAAGTTAAACAAATAATTTTTGAGGAGTGGATAGATTACATGTTTAAAAAAGATTATAGTAGATAGATAGCTGTAGGTAGTAGATACAGTAAATGTTTAAAAAAGAAACTGTTTTGCTGCTAGTTAATTATAGTGAGTAGTTTTAAAATTTTTTACTATTTTTAAATCATACTCATTGTCTTCTGAATTTTTCTTTTAGATTCCATGAACCGATTCTGAATGCTATTGTCTGATGTTTGGGGTCTGGGAACAAGTTGATTTTCTGAATAATTTAAACACTTGACAGGTCATTAGAATAAACATCTTTAAAATATATTTAAAAATTAGGGCCCTCTTAAATTTTCATACTTAACATTTATAAAATTTACCACACTTACATATTTTTAAAATATAATGTAGTCTCCAGTTATATGTATAAGCAATTATGTTCTTAAAGCTTCAACAAAAATACGGTGCTTAATTCAATATAATCAATACATTTCTTCAATTGTGTGCCAAACTTCCATGCTGATTTTTATAGAGAAAATGAAAGCCTACAAATAATGTTACTATTCTTAGGAAAAATGCAAGAGCAGGAAGGATTTTATGGTTGTTTGCTTATTTTTTGTGAAGTTTCTTACTTAAACGTTATTTTTATTGAGCTTTTATCATTAGTCTGTATTAAATACTGCAGTATAACGAGTAATAATCCATGGTGACTATAAAAGCAAATACTTGTTTATTTTAATGCACAAGTTTGTTGGCAACTCACTTAACTTTCTAAGGCTCTCATTATCAAAGAATTATTAATTCACTCAATAAATTGTTGGATAAAGCAAAGTCACCTCCTAAGATGATTTTTGGAGAGCTATGAAAATAATTCCATAGAAACCTATGGAAACATTTGCCACCTTAACTTCAGCAAAATAATGTTTAGCCTAACTCTATTCATTGAATTTTTTTCCCTATGTGTGTGCTCAAAATGAAGATTGATTGTATTTACCACTAAAAAATAGATCTACTGTGTTAAATGTAGTGTGTGAATGGCCAAATAATTTCAGCCAATATACTTACAGGTTAGGTTCAAAAGGCGTAAACACTCAATATTTTTAGTACCCAAAGCATATTTTAAAATTGTCCAGTCCGAAGTATTCTAATATAAACATTCAAATATTGGATAATATGTAATATCAAGCTTCTTTTTGTACAATTTTTATGCTATATACAGACAAGATAATTTTGCATATGGCATCGCCGTAAATCCGTTCAACTCAATAAACCCTGTTTGAATTCCCGCTCGTTCCCTTTCACCTTTTTCTATTGGAGTGCCCGCTCCTGTATCTGTCATTTTCATCAACTCCCAGAGCAGCCTGTATGAAGTTCATTTAAAGGATGAAAAGGGTGACAGGCTACGCAGGAGTTTGAAAGCAGGGAGTCAAAGTTTACACACAGTGCAGGTCATGTATGTGCGACCTTGGAAATGTAACAGTGAAAATCACAGCAATGGTAACAATAACCAGTATTTGCAGGTCTCCGTCCAGCATCCAAGGCCTTTCACATTCTCCACCCACCTTAAGCCTCACAGCAGCCTTGCAGGTTTGCCTCCAGCTGCTTAATAAAACTTTGCTCTGTAATTTTTACTGAGTCATTCATTAGATCTAGCTGTCAGTTTTTTGAGGACAGAGACTGTCTAGTACTTCATGAACATACACACATATAAACCCCTTGGGAGTAACATTCTTAAACTGATTGCCAAGTGGTTAAGAGTTTCCAGTGGAAGATTTGTTGGATTATCTATGATGAAAGAGCTGTTGAGGCTGTTAAGGAGACAATGACACCATCAGAGAAGACTGTAGCAAAATCTGTGGAGAATGGGCCTAAGTAAGGGGGTTGGAGACAGGGAGGGTGGGGAGAGAAGTCTTCTCTATGTATCATAGTCAACTGTTTCTCCACTGAAGTGCATTTGTTCTATTACATTGAAGTTTGTTTATCCTAAACTTTTGGTAGTATAAGCAATGCAAATTTATAGGCCTGAATTTGAACATAATGGTTATATCCTAGTTTTTATTCCTTATTCTATTTGAATTTTTCTCATTTTTTTAAGCAAGCTTGTTAGATTTTTAATTATTAGATTTCCACCCAAAAAAGATTTTGGTTTTAGCTATCAATTCTACCCTTTTCCTATTTTCTGAATAATTTTTCTGCTTTTATCTTTGTTATGTATCTATTCCTGCTTTTTCTTGATTTTTCTTTTTCCGCCTTCTTGGGTTGAAAGTTTAGATCTTTTATTTTCAATCATTCTAGGTTAAAAATAAAGCAGTTGAAGTTATAAAACTTCCCCCCGAATATAATTTAAGTTGCAGCTCATAGGTTTTAACTTCTAACCTTTTTATTGTCATTTATTTTTATGCCTCTATTTTCTCTTTTTATTCTTTCTTTGAACCTAAGTATTGAGAATTTTATTTTAAATTTTTTCTGTGGTTAGATGTCTTTTGTTTATCGTTTTATCATTAATTTCCAATTTGATTGCATTGTGATCACTGATGATTGTTTAAAGGGAAAATGAGTAGAAAGTGAAATGAAAACAAAATGGGGCGTTGAGGGGTAGCAGGGAAAATAAACGTGAGACACAGCATTAAAGAGCAAAGAAAAATAATGAGAACAAGGCACAAATAAGAAGATGGCGTGCAAGGACCCAAGTGGCTGAAGAGAGCAAAGGGCTGAGTTTGTCACTTAACTAGCATGGCCGGAGGTTTGGACTGTTGACTAGGGTACATGATGCCAGATAGTGTTAGGAGAGCAGAATGATACAGCGAGGCAGAGTCATGTGCAGGAAAGACAATCCTCTGAGAAAATCCAGCTGCTGCTTGGTTGTGATGGCACTTTGAAGCCTAGCAAGAAATGTCTCACTTGATCTGCTCCAGTGGTTTAAGTGTTAAGACAATAATCTTTTTCCTGCATCATTCCTTGATCTTTTAGCTTCTCAGGTGGATTTAATATTTCTATGTCTTCCATCAAATTGGAGGAGTGAATTTCAACATAGAAAATGAGTAAGGAACCCAAACTGAGGAACTCATCACGCTCATACTGTTTTCTTCATCCCACAGTCATTTTTAAGTTCCTGTTATGACCAGTACTGTGCTATATGATAAACACGAAGGGTCAGCAGCTTCTAAACGTCTAACTTCTTTACAGCCCATATAAGTATGCCAGTTCTCTTCTTGCTGACCAGAAAGCAGCTGCTCCCACTTGAGAAAGGATGACTGGTGAAAGTAGCAGTTATTTCTCAGCCAGAAGACAATGCCATATACCCACTGTCTATTTACAATACCACAGTCATCATGGGAGCAGGAGGGGAGATGGGTTCTCTGAGCCACTCTCAAATTATTTCTTTCAATGAGGGGTTTTATTAATGAACCTGCCCAGAAGTGTCATGGCTTTCCCAAGTCCTTAGAGAGGCCCAGATGCTCAGCAGTGACCAGTCAGGATGCCTGATCCAGGCTGCCTGGGTTTAGATCCCAGCTGTACTACTTACTGAAGTACAACAGTGGGCAAGTTTCTTAACTATCCTGCCTCCGTTTTTCTGATCTGTAAATGGGGATTATAATAGTCCTTGCCTCATTAGTTTGGTTTGAGGATTAAATGAGCTAATGCTTAGAACAGTAGCTGGCACATAGTAAGCACTGAATAAAAATGAACTTTCACTGTTATTCCAGAATGCCGGTGCCCTCACCACTGCACAGTCACAGAGACAATCCTGGTCCTGCAGAGAGAATGAAGCTACCAAAGATAACACAGATACAGGAAGCTCAAGTTAAACAAAGCCACAGCATCATGAAGTCCTTTTCTTTAAAAAATGAAACAGCCATCCAGAAAGTTGTGAAGCAAATTGAAGAGAGGCTAAGTTTCAGTAGAAATCACTGAAAGGGATTTTGTACTTAAAGACTTTTCTTTGAGCAAATGTATAAGCAAAAGTAACGAACCTTCTGTGATGAGCACTAAGAGCCCTGAAATAGTGGGGCTCCTAGCAGGACAAGAACAGCATGGATCACCCAGAAGAGCGTCTAGAAAGAACATAGATTATTCTCTGAGCCACACTGCATAGGCTTTTTATCAGTTTTTTAGTGAGGAAGGACAATAGCAGACCCACTCTAAACTCTTCAGTATAAAGTTCATTACGGTATAGATTCAGTCATTCTTTTTTGTCTTTTATCTTTATGAAGTCATAAGTGAACCAGGCTTTGTGCTAGACATTGGAGACATGGTGGAAAAGACAGACTCTGCCCACGTGGAGTTGATGATCCAATAGGAGAGCCTGACATTAACCAAGTAATCACACAAATGTCATTGTGAGATTTGGTAAGAGCTCAGAAGAAATACGAAGTGGTCGGTGAAGATGATATCAGGGACTTTGAGACCTGGAGGTCAGAGAGCTTTGTGAGAGAACAGCAGCAATGCTTTGCCCTGAGGATAAGGAGACATTACCAGGGCAAGAGCTGTAGCACGTGGTGCCAGGGAACAGTGGGCTTAAAGACTCTGGAGTGGGGAATGAGGGGTGTGGGCCCAGACCTGCACAGGGAGCATGTCAGTGGGATGGAGAACCTCAGGGGCAGGGCCATGTTAGCATCTTTGCCTTCTTCCAAATACAGGGCAGTTCACTGAAGGTTTTAGACACACACAGTTGGTATTGACATACTCAAGACTGTGTTTTCAATAGGCCCTTCCAGCTGCAGTGTGGAAATGAGTTTGAGGGACTAGAATGGAAATGGAAAGTCCATTCGGGGGGCTTTCAGCCTGCTGTTAGAGTCCAGGTTATGGTGAGCACTACCAAACAGAAAGACCCCTTTGCTGAATCGGGTCCCAGAAAGCCTCACGGTTGTCTGGGTGCTCCGCGTGCTCGAGTAGCATCCAAACCGCAGGAGGCCACATGACCACAGTGTGGGAGTGAACTTGGGTTAACAAACTTTGATATTGTAATAATTGCTTTTACCAAATGATTCTCATCTTTATGTATTCTCACCTTTATGTAAACACATAAGAAATGTGTAATCAAAACCAATGCTTTCTGCCTTTGTCAGTATCCGGCTACTTCAAAGCAAAATGTCCAAAAGCACAAAAGACTGAACTCTCGTTACCAGTCACCACCTTTTCTATGGAACTTAGCTCAGTTGCCTTGAAGCTGCTTTGCTAGCAGGAATCTGCTGCAAACTGTCCCCTTGCCGTAAAAAGCAGAGACATGCTTTGCTTGCTTTGCTTAGTTCGAGGTCATAGGTTCAGGGCTGCTTGTGCTTATGGAAAACCCTAACTCGTCCCCTGCCCTAACCCACAGGACATGCTTCGCTCATCAGGCGCAGGTGGACGGTGTAGGCTGCTCTTGCTCACAGAAGACTGTGACTTAGCCCTTAGCTGGGAACATCCGGGCTGCTTCACACGCTTAGATTGATTTCTGATCATTGTATGGAGACTCTGTGGTGGTCTGGGTTTTCATTATCAATTGTTTGGAACACTGTAACCTTGCTCATGATTGTTTGAGGCTTAAAATAACCATTTGTACTATCAATACTGTAACCTCTCTAAGTATAAATCAAGATTATAATGGTTCTGTTTTTCCACAAACTGAAACTGCTGACCTGCATCCTTGCACGTATATACCACGCCCCTTACTCACTCCTATGATGTATTTCATTTTGATTCTTTGTTTGACTATTCTCAATAAATACTAGAGCTCTGGAGGAGCTGGAGGAGCCAGTCTCCAGCTCCCTCTCATTCTCTTGACCTGATAAAGTCTTGAGTAATTTCGTTCTTCCGCGGTGGGACTTTTGCTGGACAAAACCCATGATGAACAGAACCCATAACTGGTGTCCCATGTGAGGACCGCTCACAGGGATGAAAACCCACACCACAATAAAGCTTTTATTGGGGTTAAATTTAGTTGAATCCAAAGGTGTCAGGAATAACATTTAGCCACATAGAAGTCTGTGAAAATGAGAGTGACCCAGTGAAATGAGTAGCTGGGAATGTGAGTGTGAGATAATTAGTTATGTTAATGTCTAAGGTTTGAAGAGGCTGCCTGAAGTCCAGACAATTGAGCAACAGAGGAATTAGGCTGATAAAATTTTACTGCACCAATTTTACTGAAAACAAAGCTGAAGCGTTTGACTTAGGTCTGTGGGCAAGCAATGTTGCAAATATTTCATTCCTGAATTCAATCTGCCCCAGTCATCGTGGGCCCTGTGTCTGGGGAGGTGTTGTAGGATGGGGCCTGTTTGGGGGACTTTTGCCTTTGTGACCTCCTTCCTCCATAAAAAAGAAAATATTTTAAATTGTATTTCAGGACTGCATTGGTACAAAAATATAATCCAAGCTGGTTTATATTTTTTTCTTCTGACTTTAAAAGATAAAACATTTTCGTGGTCCTCTGAACTGGGATATGTCAGTGCAGCAGAGGGCAGAGTCCTGGAATCCCAGGCAGGTGACCCCAAGATGGAGAGGGGACTTGAGCTGAAAGTGCCAACAGCAGACAGCTTCCTCCCACGGAGCAGGACTGGCTGTCCCGCTAACAAAGCACACTAGAATCCAAATAAATGTTCTGGTCCTGAGTGACCCAATCTGTGTAACGACAGATTCCAGTTCCCACAGATCCATGTACCTAGCGGCATTAAGAAATAGAATCTGGTAACCAAAAATAATGTTAGTATGTATTCCAATCTTTATGTCTCTTGAAGAATGTTATTGAAATCTGTAATTCAACACAACATTTCCAGAAAGCCTGTTTCCTTCTAATTCTGTCAAGCCCTGCAACTGACTACTCTTACACCAGAACCCACCCCCCCAGTCTGACCTTAGTCTGGCTTGTCTGTCTTCCCCCGACTCTTTCTTCCTTCATCTCCTCTCACTTCACCGTTACCCGGCTTGTTTCCAAGGAAGGGACCGTGGAGAGGACTCACCTGCACCGTCAGTCTTTGCCCTGGCACACTGCAAAAACAAAAAGCCTTAAAAAGGTAACCTGTTTTGTTTTGTTTTGTTTTGTTTTGTTTTGTTTTGTTTAACAAAAGTTTGTTACAATACCAATACTACTAGAAATGTCCTTTGTGGGGCCAGCTGTCTGGGAGACGCAGAGGAGGCGGTGAGCAGGGGGAGGTGAAGCAGCAGAGGCCTGCGCTGTGTCTCAGGTCCACTCCCCCGCGGGGAGTCGCTGCAGGAGCCCATTTGTGAGTGGAAGAAGAGGAGGGCAGTGTCACCCAGCCCTCCACGTGCAAGTTTGTCTTAGCTTCTGGAGCAGAGAGCAGCTGAGGAGCAGAAGGATGCTACAGAATTCTTAGCCACTTGGTGGCAGAACTGAGGGCTCCACTTTATAGATGAACCAGAATTCAAAAACAAAATCAAGAACAGATTGGAAATTATAGGCAAAAGCTATGGAAATATTTGACGGAAGCAGTACCCTTCAGACAGTTCTGTCCCAAGGAGCCTTATTTCTGTCTGGGTGTTTGATTTGTTCCACGTGGATAAGTGGTACATGTGTGTTTCAACAGCTGGTGCTTTTAGGCCCAAGAGGCTGGTTTCCATGATGAGGTCTCCAGGCCTGTGACGCAGCCCAGCGCCCAACGTGACCGGCATTTTCCTGGGAGGATACGACGTGCATAGTGTTACATCTTTGAGCAGACAGGATCCAAGCCTACCGATAATGCAGGAACTCAAGGAATACCTAACTCCGAAGTGTAAAATTGCCTGTTTTCACGTGTTAGGAGAGACCACATCACTGAATCATTACAGGCTTAAACAGACCCTGGAAGGAACTCTATGCTTTAAATCTATAAGAACAGTTGGTGTTCCATATATACACATTTCTGCTCACCAGGGAGACACTGCAAGTCCATCTTCTTCAAAAAGATGTCGAAATGGTCTGGACCTGGAGTTGCCAGCACGTGTCAAGGTCAAGGTCATGCTGAGTCTTCCACCAAGCATGCGCCATCGGTGTTTCCCGCCCAGGGCAGCCAGGAAATGGGAGACACCCAGAGCCAGGCCTCATAGTTTTTAAAAACTGGATGAATAAAAGCTAAGGCATAAATTGCCCTGACATTTTAAAACTGCAGTAGTTTCTATTTCACATGCAGTGGAAACTTCTGTTACGCTAGTAAGGTAGCCTGTTCCAGCATTCTAGGGTAAGCAAGAATTACTCTCTCCCAGGTGGCTGAGGAAACAAAACATGTGAATTTGCAGATCGGAATTTCACAGGGCACAGACCCACATGAAAAAACATGTAACTATCTTTCTCTGGTTGCCTCAGAGCCCTCATTTATAAAATGGAGATTTTATTCCTATCTCAGAGATTATCATGAAGATGAAATGAGCTCATACAGGGAAGCACCTCACTTGGCATATACTTGAGTACCGAAGGAAGGTTAGCTATTATGCAAATGTAATATATTTTACGTACTTGCTTGCTCTCTTTGTATACATATGTATACATATTTAAATTCTATCTCAAGCTCCGTTCCACCCAGCAGCAGAAATTGAGTCCTACTCAATTAGAGGAAATCCCGCAGTACGAAGTTTCTGTAGTAGATTCTGGACAGAGGCATTAGGAGACGACACTCTCCTTGGCATCCTGTCTACAGCGTCCCTGTCTTTGGTCCTCGCATTCCTGCACTCATTTTTGCATTCCTGACGTAAAAACCTCACTCTGAAGGCTGGGGGCTTGGCATGCCCTCACTGCTACCTGAAGGGTGAGAAAAGGAATGGCCGCTAAAGCACGCCAGCCAGTGTTTCCTGCCACAACAGAAATGTGACTTTTTCCTCATATTTTACAGTTCCCACAGAATTTGTGCTTATATCATCTATGAGCTGATAACCATTAAATTGACATCTCCAAGCTGGACAACTCCTCTGAACTCCAGATTCCTATAGCCAACTGACACGTGAAACTGGAAATAAGCAACTCAAACTGAACGGACCCAAGAGAAGATCTTGATTCCCTGTCCCCCCTCCCCAGTGTTACATCCCCAGTCCTCCTATACCAGCAAATGGCTCCACCCATTCACCCAGTTGCTCAAACCAGAAACCTAGGACTGATGCTCAAGTCCTTTACCCCCACCCGCATCTCGTCTATCAGCCGATCCACTTAGTTCTACCTCCAGCCTTCATACCAAGTCTGTCCCCGTGTCTCCATCTCAAACGCCACTAGCTTACACCCTAGTCCAAGCCCCCATCCACCCCTGGCAGGGTACAGAGAAATAGATTCAGACCTGGGCTCCACACTGCCCTCGTACCAGCAGTAACTCATTATCTAAACAGTGGAATGATCTAATATAAATCATGTTACATCCTAGCTCAAAACTCTCCAGCAGCATCCCTTCCCACCTAGAAACCTGCAAGCCGCTCACTTTGGCCCCTGCTTTCTGTCTTACCTTCTCTCCTCCCATCTTTCTCCTGCTCACTGCACTCAGCCACACTGGCCTTCTTTCTGCTTTTCAACGCGCCAAGCTCATTTCTTCCTTGGGGCCACCTGGGGCTTCTTCCCTTCCTTCCCTCAGTGTGCTGGCCTTCAGGACTCAGCTCAGATGCACCCCAGTGCTGACTACCCAAAAGTAAGGCAGTCTTTTAAGTCATTTTGCATCTCCTCACCCTCTGTACCATGACTTAACCATTTCCTGAAGTTAACTTCTTTCTTTTGTTGTTTGTTATCCTATCACATTAGAAATATGTGGCATTTTACCCAGTACTTTACAGTTCCCACAGAATTCACACACACACACACACACACACACACACACATCTAAGCTCCAGGAGAAGTGATCTTGTCAGGCACACAAATATTTTTGAATGAATGAATCATCTTATTTGATATTCAAATTCCTGTCACTCATTCTCATGCAGTTCATAGGCAAGAAGAAAACAAACTACTTTTAAATCTCTGAAACAATACACAATTTCAAACTTCCCTGACTTTACACAGTGGTTCCCTCTGCTGAAAACATCCTTTCTTCGTTCTTCTGGTAAACTTCTGTTCATCTTTCAAAGCCCTGTTTTGGGTAAGGAGCACACAGAGGGCATGAGGATGGGAACTGTGGAGGCAACGAGGCAGGAGAGCAGTAGCCATACTGTCTGGTTAGTGAGGCCAGAACTCAGGGCTTGAGAGATGACTGAAGTCTCTGTCGTGAGATTCTGCCCCAAACCTGGAGCTCTCCCTCTCCTTGAGGCAGAAAGCAAGGGAGACAGCTTTGAATATTCCAACAACCCACTCAACATCCTCACCATCTCCATTAGTATGTTTTTTAGACTTCCCAAACTTAACATATCCAAATAGAACTCAAGATGAAAAGAAAGCCCCAAACACCTGCTCAGCCCAAAAGCTGTGGAGACATTTTTGACTCCACCCCTGCCACATACACACACACACACACACACACACACACACACACACACACACACACACACCCTTACATTCAATCTGCCAGCAAATCTGGCCCCTTGTTACCACTCTCCTCCACCATCACCCTAGTCCAAGCCTATCATCTCTTGACTGTGCCACTGTCATAACTTCTAAGTATCTCATTTCCTCTACCCTTCATTCTCTGCAGAGCAGCCAAGAGATCTTTTTAAAATTTAGACCCTGTCACCCTCTCCTTAAAACCCTTCAGTGACTTCCCATCATATTTAAACGGCTCAGCAAAACCCTTACCGTGCCTACAAGGCCTCCCTACGTATTCTGGCCACCGGCCACTCCTCCGACCTCGTTTCCTACCATGTCTCCAACTGGAGCACAGAAAGGAGCACCTCTGCCACCGCTGCCTGTGTGACATTGGACAAGTTGCCTAATGTCTCTGGGCCTCAATTTCTTTATCTCTAAGGTGAAGATGATGAGAACATTTTACCAAACTGTTGTAGGATGAAGGGAGTCCTGCAAATGGTCTCCAACACATAGCAAGCTTGTGTGCATGTTTTTAGTTTTAAGTAGTTTGATGTCTTGAAATCTTAAATTTGAAGAAACAAATGAGTACAAAAAACGATAAGGAAAAGAGAATATACTTGCATGTTGTTATCAAATTTTAAGGACACGTTTTTATGAAGTCTTTATAAAGAAGTTGTGAAATTATGTACACAGTGGATTCTCCCTTTGCCTTTTAATGAAAGACCTGGGAAACAGTCTCGTGAGTTTTACTAGCAGTGCCTTAATTGATGGCTTGCTTAATTTAAAACTAATAATTACCTATTTAAAACTCACTTTTACTTATTTCTTCCTGATGTCAAACACCTTTCTCCAGGGAAACCAGTCTTGGACTCCAGATGGAACAGATGAAACTGCTGAGTCTACTGACTTGTGGAAAAGGAGGAGTCAGGGCGCAGCCAAGAGCCCCTGGGAGTGCCCATGGGCTGGCCGGGCAGGCAGGGAGTCCCGATTGGTGCTCCCGGTGCTCCATGTCCACAGGTTGGCAAATAATCACTGGTGTCTGCCTGTTTTGGCAGCTCAGGCTTTCCCAAGACTGATCAGCATCCAGGGTTTTGCTCTCACACATCTGCTCTTCAGGAAAAAATAACCTTCTATCCTGGTGGAGGCATTTTTTCCTGTCATGATGTCTTCTCTTTCCAATTCTGATGAGTTGATTTTTTTTGTGAATGGAAGAAAGGTGAGTTTATGATATGATTAATATGAATTTTCGCATATCAGGGACAAAAACTAAGCTGATTTTTTTTCACTATGATGCTGTTTCTTTTTGCTTTAACCTCTCTCTCCTGTCTTTTTCAGGTCATAGTGGTATGAACTTGAACAAGGGTTGTTAGTTTAGGGTCTGGTGCAAAATTATTAAAGCATGGGTGTCTTTGCTTGCTCTTTTCTTTTGGAATCAGTAAGGAACTCTCATTTTTATTTGTGATATTACAATGGTAGTGAATTCTGACACAGGTGTGAAAAACTTTGTCACCCCCCCTTTTATTTGGTTATTAGCTCACTTGAGGTCACCAGTGCCATTTTAATTGAAGGCATATATGATGTTGAGGATGATAAGAGCAAAGAATGATTTTGTTTGGCCTTCATAAATCCTCTCAGGCTGATCAATTAACCTAGAGGCTGAAACCCCTCTGCCTGCTGGTTGTAGCCTGGAGTGATGTCATGATGAGACAGCATTAAATCAATTGTGGCACTGATCGGGCAGCTGAAGTGGTTGGAGAACATTTACCTGGAGTGTCCTGTCAGGTATAGTGGGGTCTTTATAGTACAGAGTAGTGGCATCAGGCTGTGTCCCTACAATGTAGGGGGGACAAGAGGAAGGCCGTCCTGGCTTGCACGCCATCACTTGTTCCCCCCGTTTTGTTCCCACCTTTGGAGGTAATTTCCATAGCCACACAGTTAGGGTGTTAAAGCAAATCTAACTGTAATGCTTTGCTTCTGCAACACCACTGTACTTGGCCCCCTCCTCTCTGCATGCTGATTCCAAGTGGAGGGATGCTGAGCTCATCTCTGGCTGAGTAAGTCTGAGGACTTGGAAAGGAGATTTGAAAATAGGAGGCAGTTATGAAAAATAATGTAGTTTATTGCTTTTTCTGGGGTGATAAAAATAAAAAACACTCTTAGTGGAATGATGTCCTCTTTTTCTGGGTTCAGTGTTGCTACCCTTCCTGGTAAGTTTCTCTCCCATTCTCCTCTCTGATCTTGCCTGACTGTATCCATCAGAGGAGCTGCCTGGGCCACGGAGCGTGCCGGCTCGGACCCACTGGCGGGAGCGGCCTGGCACAGGGCAGGAGAGGCAGAGCAGGGATTCACACTCCCTTCTGCTCCTCCTTCACCTGTCGGCACCTCTGTTTCCCTGGGGGATGAGGACAGGAGTGGCTCCCTCATAACAAACTCCCTTATGACTCCCTTAGGGAATCTTCTCTGGCCAACCTTTTTATGACTTTATGTTATTTTGAGTCAATTTTGGAATCTGTGTACTTGTTTCCCCATCTGGATCCTTTCCACGTGACTCTAAGGAAAAACAATCCAGAATTTATAATGGTCATTTATACTAAAAAATTCAGAGGCATTGAAATAATGTTCCATTATTTCTCCAAAATTCTGGATCCAAGTGTTAAAAAAGATTTCCTTTATAATTATTTTTTCTTGTGAAAAAAAAACATGCCCCCAAGACAATGAATAGAATTGCCATAACATGTTGATATTATCTTCCTAAAATCCCTTCTCTTATTTCACATGTAGGTCAGAGAGAAGAATGCTGACCCTGAAGTAAATCTGCTCTTCTACCTGAGGAAAGTCCATATCCTTACGTTCTACTGTAATCCATCTGGTTTGGGTGGTTCAAAGTGAACGTGCTGAGATTTCTGAAGAAAGTCACTCTGTGTTTGCTCTAGGTGAATAACCTTACGTTCAGTTTCTACAGTCTAGTTGAAGTTCAGAGAATGCATCTAGATTTGTGCTTTATTTGTTGTGTATGTGTGTGTGTGTTGTTTTGCTTTGTTTTGTTTTTTTGCCTGAGCGAAATCAAAATAATCATCCAGTGAACCATGATTATTCTAGCTTTGGAAATAACTTTATGACTTTGGAACCCCATGGTCACCCTGATGATGGTTTTATATTCAAGCGAGTGAATGTAAAAATATCCAGCCACTTACTCAGAGGTGCATGTCACTGACAACAGCTTCCCACAAGGGCATTTCGTTGCCCTTTTATAAACGTCATGCAGCGGATAGCTATGCGCTTCCAGCTCTCCACCTCTGATCTGGACCTTTTTTCACTCCTTACTCCTCCTGGACCTTAGTACTCAAAAAGGAATGTCCTGGGTTTGGATGCAACTATAAAGGAGTAATCCAGGGGAGTGATTGTTGCAGTGGTTACACAGAACTATGAGATAAAATTGCATAGAACCGACTATACCCACATGATATGAGTGCTTGTGTAAGTGCTGAAATCTGAAGAAGCTCTGGAGTCTGGTTGCCAGCATGATACCGATGTCCAATTTCCTGGCTTTGGTGTTGCACTGTGGCTTTGTGGGAGTCGTCATTGGAGGACCCTGGGGAACAGGCATATAGCGCCATCAGCACTATTGCTGCAACTTCTGTGAGACTATAAGTTAAAAATAAGTAAACTTATTGAGCACCTACTAAGAGCCAGGCACCGTGGTAAGCTCTGGGGTGCCACGCTGTACAAGACAATCATGCTCTCTCGCTCCCACGTCTTCACTTCCTTCTGCTCCTGTCTTTTTGCCCCCCAACAGGCACATCTGAAAACACTACTTCCTTTCTCCCTGCTCTCTCTTTGTCAAGCTTATCCAATATATTATGTGTACCCGATACTTCATGTTCTCTCCAGACTCCTTCTCTTGCTAACCTTTCAGTCTGGTTTCCTACTCCGTTATTTTGCTACTCTAGCCAGAATTGTCCTCTGGTGTCCCTATTTCACTCACTATTCCAAGAATGGGCTTATCGGTGAAACAAAACAACCACAACAACAACAGGCAAATCCTCCCTCACTGGGCTCAACCTCTCCCGTTGACCCCGCTTCACAGTCTCACTGTTAGCACACTCTGTCTCTTCCCTTTTATTTCACTTCTCAGTTCACTACACATTCTATCATACTTTCTCTAGACATCCTAAAATGAAGAAAATTTTCTATGTTAGGAACAAGCTGAAAATTCGTGCACCCCCGAGTAAACATGGCTAGACGCAGCCCTGAGCAGAATCACCCCCAGTCTATTTCCCCATCCCCCCACGGTCCCCCTCTGTGCATGCCCTTCTGGTGCCTAGTGTCATAAATAAGGGCTTGTGAGTAAATAAGACTCCCCTAAGACTCCCAGGCCCCAACTTCTGATCACAGAGTCAGCAGTTCTGGGGCGGAGTCAGGGGCTTCAGTTTTCACTTGTTCCTCAGGTGGGTGAGTCTCACGAACATTTGTGAACAGCACAGGTTCTCTGCCAGAGTCAGCACCCCACATGCCCACACTACCTCCACTTTTCTCAGGATTCCCATGGTCCCCTCCAAAGCCCTCTACCTAAGTTATATCCATAAGTTTTTATTTTTTTCCTTAAGGCAGGTCTCCAGTGTTATAAAAGCTTCAGGCTCCCACAAAACTCCAGTTTGCTGCCAAGTTGGAGCCTAGCTCAGGTGTCATTTCCAGAATAGGACACAGTCACACAAAGGGCAGGGTTTGTCCGGGGGCATCTCCGTCTCCCTTCACCATTCCACTCTTGCCCTGCCCAAGGTCACAGCCTTCCACTGAGGGACCAGCCCAGCCCAGTGCCCTGCTCAGTGCCCTGCCCAGACCTGCCAGCGCAATCCCCTGTCACCTCTCCCTCCCCACGACACCTCCGGGCCTGGTGTTAGGCAGTCTGATCTGCATAACCAGATAATGCACCGCAAACAGTGAATGGCCCATGGCTGCTTGGGTCAGGGAGGGTGTGTCATTATAGAGCTGCTTAACCTCCGTGAGATCCTGGCTCTAGGTTAAAAACTGGGGAAATGAAATGTCTCAGAGATACCCTGGCCAAGTGTCCTTGCTTTCCTGTGCCCTTCACGTACCTATGACCGGAGCCCTAACACTTCTTGGCATTCTCAAAGCAGTTTTTTCATTCAGTTAGCAAAATTTACCAAGCACCAGGTGTTCAGAAATAAGCTAGAAGATACAGCTTCTGCCTTTGGTCTAGTGAGGGAGACAGCCAGTGGAGAAACACACAGCAAGTGTGATGAGTGCTGTGTTGTCCCCAGAAATGTGATGAGTTCCGTGTTGTAGGGACACAGGCAGGGCACTCACACAAGGCTTGGGGAGGGAAGGAAGAGGGGAGGGTTATGTAGGAGTTGCCGGGGCAAATGGAGGGCTTGGGGACGAGGTATTCTTGTCAGCAATACATTGGGGGGATGGGGCAGCTGCAGAGGCAAGAGAAATACAGCTGTTGAGGAACTGAAAGCAGTTTATTCTGATAGATGTGGGGGTGGGGGAGGGTAAGCAAGAGATGAAGGTGAGATGGTGCAAGAGGTGAGATGCTTGAGGCAAAGAATCAAGTTTGACCCCATGTCACATTCTCTGCCTGGCATGCTGAACACAGTAACTCGTTGACAAATGACCAGATCCCAGTGGAAACTTCAGGGTCCACTGCACACACTGGCTACCAGCATTCAGTCTCATGGTAACTTCTGGATGTGCTGTAGGACTGCTGTATACCTTGGAGGCACTGAGAAATCTTAAAGGACCGAAAATAAACTTCTGATACATTATCATTTGTATTTGACCAAATTAGGATTGCCAGCTTTAGCATATAAAAATACAGTACACCCAGTTAAATTTGAATTTGAATGCATGGGGCATACTTATTTTATCTGAAATTCAAATTTAACTGGGCACCCTATGTTTTACCTGGCAACCCTATCTAACGATAAGCTTTAGAATGATTCCACAGAATATGGAAGGAACTGAGCCAGGCATGAGGGATGAGGGGAGGGAGGCATTAAACTAGTTGGTGACCAGAGGGCAAAACAGCTGGTTGGATCAATTTTTCCCTTTTCACTCAAGGCAACATTTAAATGTGCATCACAGAGCTGTTTTAGGGTCTGACAAAGTGAAAAGCAAAAATTCGCCTCCATTTTTGAGCCAGACAGCTCCTGGATTCCTTTGCTTGGAAATGTCAGGACACCAAAGGCAGAGAGAAAGTATTTCTTTGCCTCTTCTGTTCTGCTCAGTGGGGCCCTCTCTGAGGTATCACCCACGTGACTACCTGAAGGTAGAAAGCTTGACCTGCCTGAGCAGGCAGAGCTGGCTCAGGCTGGGGACTGAAGAACAAAGGAAGTGGGTGTGCAGCCTCTCTGGACCTCTGCAGGGAATCTCAGCTCTTTCCTCCAGGGTGTACTGGTCCGGTATTACCTCTTCAAGAGCAGCAGTTTCCAAAATAAAATTAATCTTTACCTCCGCCCAAGCTGATTATAACCTCCACCCATGTAATCCTTTTTAAACCTCACCCAGAAAAGACCTAAGCAAATCCCAGCAAGTTTTTATAGAACCTAAAGCAGGGGATTTACGTGTATCGTTTGTCCTTTCTTTGTGAAAATATTATTAATTTTTTACGGTTCTTATAGGGAAAAGGTACACAGTGGTTGTTGACATTACTGGGTCTCAAGAACCAAGGTTATTCAATTAATACTCTCTAATCCCATAAGAAAGTAAAAGCATCATGTTGCTGAACCAGGAAAAGTGGAACTTCCCAGGGCAGGGGGTGGGGAGGGATCTCTAAGTTGGCACGTACATCACCTCCACAACAATAACGTGAGTCAAGGACCCGTTGAATTCAACAGGCTTTTCCATACTCCTTTGGATATAAGCTCTGATCTAACTAGCACAAGGCTCTGTAGTTGCATGCATCCCACTCAGTGTGAGCATCTATATGACTCACTGCGGAAATTTTAGTCTTTGATTACAAGGTGTCAGCCTAGCCCCACCTGAAATGCTATCTTACTCTTTCTAAAATCCAGAAAATTTTGCATTCAGAAATGCATCTAGCTGGGGTTTTCAGAGAAGGCAGTGTGGTCTGTAGGGATTTATTCTCACCTCTCATCAGTTAGTTCATTTATATGCAAAAAGTAGAACAACTCTCTAAGCAAGAAACCCCGGTAGGAGACTCAAGAAAACGGGTTGCTTGTTATCAGTATCCATGGAAAGCAAAGCAGCCTGGGCCCCTCTTTTCCTTGACTCCCTTCCTTCCAGTCCGCCTCACAGGCACCAAGTACGGCTGTGGGGGAGGAGGCTGTGGCGCCTGCACCGTCATGGTGTCGAGGTACAACCCCAAGACCAAGAAGATCCAGTATCCTTTGTGTTGACGGGGCCCTGCTCTGGGCACTTCTGGGAAGGATGTGGAGCCCCCACTTTTCCTGTCCGTATATATGTCCCCTTCTCTCTCCAGGTGTCCACCGCCCGCAGACCTGCTCTCTTGCAATTTCTAAGCTCCAGATCTTTCCCATGGACTTTCTTCCCATCAGAATATATGTGGCCTGTGTGCCAGTCTCTCAGGGCCATGCTCTCTATTGCTGTACAGCTACTTCCTTTGCTTTTGAGCAGGAGATTTCAGAGTGGAGGCTCAGACAAGAATGCCTTAAACACAAAGAAGTGATGCACTGTTCTGGTAGAAGATTTAGGTCAACATACACTGGAAGAGTTATTCCCCTGGAAGAGCTGAATGAGATCTTAAGTCACGCTGCACGACTGAGCCAGCATCACCTTGATCTAAAATGTAAATTTGCTCACAATTGAATGTGGTGGGGAAGGAGTTGTCTAGCATGATTCCCAAGTCTTAGTCTTAGGTCACTGGTGGTGCTGTTCACAGTTAGGAAGAGGAGAAGCAGAGGCGAAAGTGGTGAGTGTAGCTTTGGATACACTGCATTGCAGTAGTGGTGGCAGGTGCAGATGGCAGGAGTGACTGGAGGGCCAGGAAGTTGTGGAAAGCTCTTGGAAAAACTTGACTAAGAAGGGAAGAAAGATAATCCAGTAGCTGGAGAAAGACATCGGTTTGGGGATTTCTTTTTTAAGCACAACAAACAAATGAATTGCTAAATGCAAGGGAATTTAGAGAAATGAGACCCTAGAAAGGAAAAGGTTAGGGGGGCAGTTGATAACGGAGCAAGTCCACAGGGAGCCAAGAACACACGGGATCCAGAATGCAGCAGAGGGGCTGGACGTGGAATGCAGGTGAGGCTGACTGCAGCCCTAGGTGAGCAGTGGCTGACTGGGCAGTGAAGGGGCTCGTACCTCTGTTTCCTGCATGAGGCATAAGGGTGAGACTGAGCAGAGCAGTGAACACAGAGAGTTGCGAGAAGAGGGAGAGGGAAAAAAGATTAAGGGGAAGTAAACTTAGTAAGGAGGGATTAGAGGACATAAGAAATAAAATGTATTTGTTGTGCAATGGACCTAGGGTATACTCTTGCTCTGTATGCTAAGTGCTCTTCCAAGGTCCCTCACTAGTCAGGTGGGGGGTTTCCAAGTGCATTTGATGATTCAAAGGGCTGGTGGAGCCAAGAGAAGCACTCTATCTTTTCTTCGGAAGAATAGCATTCATATTCCCATCCTGGATGAGAGAGTAAAGGAAAAAGTCCCTGGGTGAGGACAATTTCCCATACCTGGATAGAGAATAGGACTTAGCCTGAGTGGGAATAAAGCGACTACATTGGACTAACAAAGTCTGGATCCCATTCCCAACCCGTGAGATGAGAATTGGGTGCTAACCATGTTGGCCGTGTCATTAATACAGACGCGAGTGTGGGAGAGATGGTCAAGACAAGGGCATAAGCCCGAGCTATCCAAGCTTGGCCATACGTTGGAATCACCTGAGGAGGTTTAAAAGTGATGGAGTGATCCTATCCTAGAGATTCTGATTTAACTGGGTTAGCACGGAACCAGTTAAACCAGTATTTGTATTTTTAAAAACTTCACACAGTTGAAGATTACCAGGGTAAATTACTCCAGGATGGTTTACGTAAGTCAGTATATCATTTTATGATGAGTAGAAGGCTTTCTTTCCTTGGAATGAGGGGGGAAAATGGAGACTGAGGGTCTCTTTCTGCACAAAACTCATTGTTCTTTTTTTTTCATTTCTCTCTACCATTCTATTCCAGCCTTACGTAAGTCCTTTCTTGGACACTTCCAAAAAGTTAGAGTTCTATATCTAGTGTTCTCTGTATTCTCAGGGATATACAAACTCATGACTCTCTCTCTCTGAAATTACTCCCTGAATTATGTTACCCACTCCCTGCAATTCCAATGTGTTCTCTTTACAAAATTCCATCACAGCCATTATCCAGTTACAGCGTGCCTGGTTCCTATCTGCTCGCTGCATGGGGCTGCTGTCACCACAGTGGAAGGAGTGGGAAGCATCAGAACCAGGATTCACCCCGTGCAGGTAGGAGGGCAATGTGGTTTGGACCAGATGTTGGTTTCAGGCACCCCATGTAGTCTAATGTACTCCAATTAGGTCGCCAACTTTGAAATCCTTTGTGCCTTTAAATTCTCATTTTGTGAGGTTCAGTGCTTCAGAGCTAGAGATCCTTTCAGAGATTGGTGTAAAAACCAAGATTCCTTCATTCATTTTGATATATCTTAACTTCTCAGCCCCATACTGCCCTAAACTAAAACAAAGACAGTCTAGTCTGTCAAGAGAAGAAAACGGGATAGAAAACTAGAAGTTTATAAAAGATACTTGCTGTCTACCATATTTCAGAATTACAGAACTATGAATAAGAGGCTCATTATGTGTGAAATACTCCCCAAGCACTCCCCAAATATCTTGTAACTGAACACCACGCTATGAGAAAACACAACTAAAATGACAAAGCATTTACTAAAGTTTAGAGGACTTTTTAAAATATTTTATTTATTTATTATTGTATTATTTAATTATTTTATTTTGTTGTGGGGTAGGTAATTAGGTTTATTTACTGTTAGAGGAAGTACTGGGGAATGAACCCAGGACCTTGTGCATGCCAAGCATGTGCTCTACCATTCGAGCTATACCTTCCCTCACTAGAGAACTTTTACTGCAATTGCAGTGTTATTTTTATATACTAGAATAAGAGTTTCTTCAGATGTTTTGTTTTAAAAGCAGGGCGTCAAAAGAAAATTATGGAGAGCCATAATCTCTTGCAATTCCTTCTCTTAGAAGATTGTGTTTGGAACACGGAAGCAAAGATCTTCCTCTGACAATGTGTTGCATTGATGGGCACTTATTGACTTTTTGACATTAAAATCTTACCCACTCTTAGCTCATCACCTTAACAGTATGGAAGCTACCTAACGCTGCTACTTATCAGATTTCTTTCTCTGAAATATTAATAGTACCTGATAGTTCAGTAGTGCCCTGGAGCAGGCTCATACTGGTCAGGACAGCCGATTGTTAAGTTTTCAGGGATTTTTGTGAGCCAGTCTTTTAAGCACAGCCATTACTAAAAATTAAACTATACAAGCTTAAAAGTAAGTAAACAATATTAAAAACAACGCTAATAAATAGCAATATTTATCATCTCCCAATTATTTTACTGCGTTTCACTATTCCCTATGCTCTTGAGGCCATTTATGTCTGTTGTAGCTACATGGTGGAAATGCCATAGAAAGGTATCACCCTGCGCCTGTCTTCCAGACCCACATTCAATGATATCACATTGGAAGCTTGATATCAGCTTTGATGGAAGTCTTTATACTACTGAAATTGGTTGAAGCTGCAGATCAGGACTCTCCTCCCAGAGATCCAGTTGTTAATCAGTTACCAGCACATTTGCAGCCAGGCCTATATGACACATCTGAGACAACTTGCCTTCTGGCAATAAATCCAACCCAAGCCTCTCAGATTTTCCTCTAGCCTTAGAACAATGTCTGTCCTTGCAGCTGAGCCACAGATGACGTATTTGGCTTTCCTCTCAGAGGTCATGCTGTTTGGGGTTTATTTTAAAACATTTGGGTCATACTCAAGCCAGTGATTTGAGCATTCTGTGACACAGGGGACAAATACACAGAGGGGGACCCACAGAGTCATGTTTCCATCTGTATCTTCAAGGGTGGAGTCTTTGTATGGAGTGGACAAAGTACATTGTCATTTGTCATTCTGTTTTTCACTGTCTTTTTTAATTGTTTGGTTATTGTATTTAAATACAAAAAGTTGAATTGCATAAATTAAATGTATAAATGACACAATACTACTGAATCACACTTAACAATTTTCAAGTCATTTATCTAGATTTTGTCATTTAATCAATCAAAAATTCTGTAACATAGATGAAGAAGGAGATGAAATTTACTTCCCAGAGACTGTTAAACGATGTGTATATACTCATACTTATTCTCATGACCATCTTGTATGATGGATACCATTATTATTCTAATTTTATTTTATTTTACTTATTTTATTATTTTATTTTTTAATGTATTTATTGATGTATACTCAGCTTACAATGATGTGTCAACTTCTGGTGTACAGCGCAATACTTCAGTCATATAGGAACATACATATATTTGTTTTCATATTCTTTTTAACCGTAAGTTACTACAATATCCTAATTTTAAAGAGGAAGAAAAGTCAAGTAAATAACCTCAGGTCACACAATTAATGAGCTACTGTAAGGACCAAAACTCCCATGAGCATGGCCCCAAAGCATTTTTCTTGTTCCTTAGACTACACTTCCTATTTCACAGATAAAGAAACCAGAGTCTAGAGAGTAAAGTAACTTAATTAATACTTGCCAATAGGTTTTTCTTGAGAGGAGGGAAAAAAGCGTATGATTTCAAGAAATAGAAATACTATTCTTCCAGAGTGATATCTTTTACCCTGCAGTTATCTCTGGAAAGCTAAACACATACGCTTCGCTCCTTTCTAGTGTCCAAGGTAGGGAAACAAGAGGTTTAAAGTATAAACAGTGTACCAATGTTTCCCAGGAAAGACTCGCCAAGTGTCACGGCACGCAGTGCGGCTTCTGCAGCCCAGGGATGGTGATGTCCATCTACACGCTGCTGAGGAACCACCCGGAGCCGACCCCCGCGCAGATAACCGAAGCCCTTGGAGGTGAGGCTTCTGGGCCTTCATCAGGGACTGAGGGTGGAAAGTGCCCAAGCAACGAGGGAGGAGGCCCTGACCCCGGAGAGAAGCTGTGGCACAGCTCTGGGGTTCCAGGCACCTGGGCAACACGTAGGCCTCTTTAGCACCTGCCTGGACCCAAGTCCTTTCCAGGAAGTGCTACCTGCATTTTGTCAGCATCGATGCCAAGAATTGGGGCAGTAGTGGTTTCATTACAAGCCTTCTCCCTTAATGGACCCAGCTGTCACTCTGCGAAGGCATTCAAATAGGCTGTCTCTTAACACTTTTAATACAATATTTTCCAAATGTGGAAATTTGGGTAATCTAGAAGAATGAGATTTTGTTGTTTGTTTTTAAATTAATCTGCTAGAATCATTCATAAACTACTCACTAAAATTTAATTTTACAAAGAGTATAGATTTCAGATACTTTACATTTTTATGTTCTGGTTGAGTTCATTATGAGATCAAGGAGCTCTTAGACTGCAATTAGCTGTCACAAATAAGCTTGGTGAGCAGTTCAATCCCCTATGACAAAATAGCTATCAAATTTAAATGAACAAATACAATTTACTACAAAAAAAAAAGAGCATGTTAACAAATGTAGTTTTCTGTGACAAACATACCTAGTTCAAGGTAATTGGTTACTAGTTCTTAGAAGAAAGCTGTGAAAGCAAACCTCTAAACATTATAAGAAAATTCTTTGTTCTTTTCAATAAACAGACCCACACAGAAATTCAGTTTTATGATGAAAAGATACAGACTAAAACAAAGTAAAAAATTCAACTTAAATTTTACAGTAACTGGAATATAAATGTACTCTAATATTTTCCCTTATCTCTCAGCAACTTCTGTACACAACATTTTCTAGTTTCTCATTAAGTACTGCTCAAACTTTGGCCTATGATTTCAATTATAGTTTTAATTAAACCTGAAAGGGTTTGAACAATAGATAATTTTTGTTTAATAAAGTAATCCACATTAATGAGATATTTAGATCTTTGAAAAGCAAAGATGTTGTGATTTGCCTTACTTTTTGTTTGTTTCTTTGAATATGCACAGTCTTATAGAGATGGATTATTTCCTTCCAGATTCTGTGCCTGTAATTCACACAACCACCACCAGGAAACGGCATTGTAAAGTCTGGCTAAATTAGATAGATAACCTTATTCTAGGTGTGGATAATTTGAAGAGTATATTTTGATTCACAATGATGTCTCTCTAGGATTATCAGTGCTAGCCACACGTATAACCTTCACGCTCATGGTTTAAGAAAACAATAATATAAAATAAAATTGCAAAGGAATGAAATTAGGTACGACACATGCCTTCTAAAATGATCAACTGATATAAATCATCACTTCATTTAATCTTGTTTTCCCCTTTCAGACTAAGGATAGAAAATTTTTATTTTCCATGTTTTTTTCTCTTAGAATCAGAAGAATTTCTACAGTGGGTGCTATTAGTTTCCCTTGGTGGGCGGTTACTAGGGCTTCTAGACTTAGCACTTGTTATCTGGCCAAGAACAAAACCGAAAAATTCTGACACTCACTCCCTCTAGTCTTTAATGTTTACTTATAGTTAATCAAAGAGAAGGTGTCCATTACCTCTTAAATACTTTGGTTTCACGGCATGTAGTTATGTTCTAGATATTTTAGCTCCTTTTCTCTACTCCAAAGAGAGATTTTTAACTCACACACTTCTATATTCTTTCTTCTTAGCAAATGAAAAGATAAAATATGGAGTCTTAATGCATTCTTGTGCGTGTAGGTTCTTCCTAAACAATTTTTATTCTAATAAAAAAAAAAGCAGTGTATCTATTAACCAGTTTTTCCACATGACTCCCTGGCACCAAGTTTCCATGCAACATTTTACTTCAAGCTGTTTAAACCTGCCCAGTTCCACACATATACATTGCTTCTGAAATTGTTAAACTATATTTGAACATAATCATTTTAAGCATGAAATAATGCATTCCTACTATGAAAAATGAAAAAAATTAAAAGTCAAGGAAAAACTCATTCATATTTCTGCCACCAGCAGACAATCACAGTCAGATACTTCTATTTTCTTTTAGTCTTTTCTGTGCAGTTTTTGTTTGCTTATTTTAAATACTTGTGACCACTGTAAATACAATTTTATACATACAATTTTAACTGTATAAGAATTTTCCCATGTTATTAAAGCTTTTCATAAATATTGTGTATACTGGCTTCAAAATTTGAATATACTTTTTAAAAAGACAGTGGTTTCTTCACCTTTTCCACCATATTTTGAAATGTTGACAAATTAAAACAATACCAGGTACTCACTGAATACCTACTATGCTGTACTGGGAGGAGTCAAGAACATCTAAGACAATCTTTGCCTTCTCCATGAGCTTAAGGTCCAATAAGAGAAATACGGCACGTATGTAAATGACCCTACTACAACACAGTCAGTGATGGGCCTGCAGAAGGATCCAGACAAAGAGTGGTACAGCTCTGGCTGGGGGTCAGAGCAGACCTTATGGAGAAGAGGGGCTGGGGCCCTGACAAATGGACACAATTCGGACATTTGAGGTGAGAGAGGCTACATGAGAAAAGCTTAACGAAAGACCACGTAGGAGATGTTATGGGGAGTGGCAGGTTACAGGGGTTAGGGCAGGGGCCCGAAATAAGTCAGAAAGAGTTGACTGGGAAACACTTCAGAGATCTTTGTGATATTTCAGGAAGAAAATGTAATCACAAGATCTATTTTTGTAGAATATCTCTGTTCCAAAGAACCACTGTGCTAGTTTGGGAAACAAAAAAAGAATCTAATTACTATTATAGCTAGTCCACTGAAAGCAAGAAGCACAAATATGCAGTATATTTCTGTATCATTCCTTAAAAACTGACCTCTTCTCATTCAGGTAATTTGTGCCGCTGTACTGGATACCGACCAATTGTAGAAAGTGGAAAAACTTTCTGTGTGGTAAGTTATAATAAAAAATATTTTTCAATTGATTTAACATGTTAATAAACTTTTGCATAAAATCACCTATTGCATTCAATTATCTCTAAAACAACCCCATGTTGACCTTTCTAACCACTGAAAGTTGTTAAATGCTGCTGTTGATATTTTTTTAAAATAAACCTTTAGCATCTATCTTGTTTATAGCCCTAAATTAGGCACCACCTTAAAAAATAAAGTATATGGTCCATGACTTCAAGAAATGCAAAGTCTGTTGAAGAAAATGAAATATAGACTAAGAAATAACAAATGTGTAATTGAAAAGTAAAATATTAAAAGCTCAATATATCCTCTCTACCATGTAAATAAATTTTAGAGGAACAGGTGTTAAAGAGAATTAGTGAGTGGGAAAGGAAAACACAGAGGAGACTTTTTGGAGAAGAGGAGTTTTGAGCTAGATCTTAAAGGAAGTGATAGAAATAGATGAGTGAAGAGAGGCCAATAGAAAATTCCAAGTAAGAAAATGTATGGAAGTAGGAAAAAGAAAGATGTTCAAGGTTCAACTAAGAAACTGATGTAGCTGAAGCATTAGGGAGTAAAAAGATATTATTTAGGGCTAAAGAATTTAGATTTACAGTTGATAACTAATAAATAGTCACTGTCTGTTCTTAAGCTAGGGGTCACATAAGAACAGTAGTTCAAAAGGAAAATTCTTGGCATCTGCCTATAAGAAAGATAAGCCTGGAAAGACATGGTGGAGATGAGGGCTTGGACTTGTGCAGTATCCCATGCGTGAGGGAATAAGGACCTAGACCAGTGTGGCAGATGTAGGCCCGGAAATACAACTTTCAGGAAGGAGATTGCCTCTAGCCAATAAAGGATGCAGTGAGAAAGAAATCCAAATCACCTTCAAAGCTGAGAGATCAAGGAATCACAAAGGAGGAAGGAAGCTGGAAAAGAATGATTTAATGTATGGTTAGGGGGTAGTCTTGAGACAGATTAAGTTTCCAGTAAGTTAAATATCAGTAGGAGACATCTCATAACAAGGTTTCAGTTAGGGGGTTTTTCATCATCCAGTTTTTATGGTAAAAATTAATTTTATCAAATTTTGGTTGACCAAAAACAATTCAAAATGTACAAGTTAATTCCAAATACTAGTCTTTGTGAAAAAATCAGCTTTTAGGTCAGGAATGAAGAATTTCAAAAAGCTTTAAAACTACAGGCTAGTTTGTTTTAAATCCTGAGTAAAATACTATTTATGTTGCACTGTATGCATGACCAATGTTCCACCATTTTGACCCACAAAAATCAGCAATTTCATATGATTCAACCTATTACTATTTTCCTGAAGACAAAATCTAAACAAAGATATTTTTGTCTCATTCATTTTGGGTCCCCACATTCAGCCACGTGTAGTTAGTCCCTTTACAGTACATAGCGTTGTCACAAAATCCAAGTCCCTTCTTAACTCTGTGGACAGTTACCTTACAAGTGAAATATCAGCCCCCACCCTACAGCACTTTCTGTGTGCCAGACACTGTGTGTACCTGTCACAGTTAAATCTGACGAACCTGGTTGCGATGGGTTTTATTTTGCTAGTGTAACTAACTCAACCCAGCTAATGTGTGTTAAAGCAGGAACTAGAACCCAGGTCGCCTTGACTCCATGTATAAAGTCAAACCATAGGTCTCCAACCCACCACAGACCCTTAGACTGTGTCTGCACATGAAAGGACAAATAAGAATGGAATTAGTCTAAGAGTTGCAGAAACTGACAATGAATTCAGGCCAAAAACACTACTTTGGGTCTGCAAAAAATGTCCTGAAAATTAAGGTAAAATATTTTAGGACTTGAATCATCCAAATGCTCCAATAACATCCAAATAAACTCAGGTTTTCAGTCTACTTATATTTGTATACAGGAAGTCTGAAAGGCAGTCTGTCTTGCCAGGACTTCATTAAAGACACACATGTATCTTCCTTATGATGAAGAAACATCTTTTTGGCTTTTTAATTACCACCTTATAACTACACTCCATTTACCTCACTTCTAGTAGGAAGCCTTAGCTGGCTGACCCACCCTCCTCCAACCTCCTTCTTCTTCCCCTGACACTTAAGTGACACCACTTACAAGACCTTATCGGGAGCAGGGCTGCACACTTCCTGCATTTTCTGTGATTGGTCAGTGATGGAAGAGCGTGTTCTCTGTCCCACTCCATTACAGAGTCCCTGAGGGCACAGATGCACCCTATTACTTCTTCCATAGCTCCTTTGGGGCCTGGGCACTGCCGGGCCCTCGGGTTGGTGTTTAAAGAATTGATCAAAGAATTTGTTATAAACTGCATTATTTCCTAAGGAATCAACTGTTTGTCAAATGAAAGGATCAGGAAAATGTTGCATGGATCAAGATGAGAAGTTTTTTGTGGACAGACAGGAAAAAGTAAGTATCTGATATTCTACTTCGGTTGGGATTGACTGAAAAATACCCACATAAATCCAAATTTATTCAAGGTTTCTATTCAGTGAGTGAAGTATAGAGTAAGTAAATTCAGGGCATAGACAGCTTTAAGAAGCTCCAAAAATTAGCAAGCCCGAGGCCAGTCAGCACAGAAGGCTGTTTTTCTTCCAAAGCATTAATTACAACTGTCTGTGCCTTAGTCTGGGTTTACCCCGCTCCCACCACCCACAAGCACTTCAAGGCAAAAAAGCAGTCGCTCCGCTTCATGCTCATGGCAAATAATTATCTGCAAACAATACCCAAGACCCAGCACAGAAGCTTAAAACCCAATTCCTGACACAAGAGGAAGCCCAGAGCCCAGCAAATCTGGCAGAGAAACCATCAGCCTCCTCTGAGGGTGGGAAGAATTCTGCCAGGGATGCCCTGAGGCTCTGACGCCTCCATTCTGCATCCAGAATGTCAGAGGTGCTCTGACTCTGAAGTCTCACACTTAGAGATTCCTGTACATCTCTCTGTATCTCTGAAGTTCCATTTGTACTTTGTTTTGTTTTGTTGAGATGTGTACCAAGCTGTACAATGAAGATGAATTCCAGCCCTTGGATCCATCCCAGGAACCTATATTCCCTCCTGAACTCATAGTAAGACACTTCACTTTTGTTGTCTTATAACATGCTGCAATATAAGTCTTTTGTATTACACTATGGGACTACTGAGTGTTAGATACTGAAAGTTGAAAGCACGTCCAACACGATAACCCATTTTTAGAAACATGTTCAGCTCCGCTGTAATATGAAACAGACAGCTTAGGAGAGTGGCGCTGCCGGGACCTCAGAGGTGCTTTGGTTTACACCCTGCACTAAAAACCCCGAGCTCACAGAGTGTGTGACTTAATCAAGGTCACACAGCTACACTTGGGATATGTTAAAGGCATTTTGTAAAACTGGTAAGGTAAAAATCAGACGATACTTATTATAATGGAATTTTATCATTCCTACTATTAACCTCTGTGATCTCAACTCTGAGAAGAAAGAGAGACTAATACAAATAGTGTGGCATGCCCATCATTCTGTTCCATGATTGGGCCCTGGAGAGAGAGCATGGGATGAGGGCTATGATTCTACCAGCTTCTCAGAAGCTCTCAGTCCCTACAAACCCCTAAGCATGAGAAACTGGACACACACAGTATTTAAAGATTACATAGAGATATAGATATGCAGAGATATACATGTTTATATGATTATTTGCACAGTTGTAAAAATGTCTGTTGACGCTCTACCTGGTGAACGATTTAAGGGTGTTTGGTTTTTTTTTTTGAGGATAATTTTCCTATAAGCAATTTCTGTCCCACCAAAGCAGCTAATCCCCAAGGGTGAGGCCCCTCTGAGTCGCTGTTAGGGCAGACGTGATCAAGAAGCCCAGCCCTTGAATCCCAGGCTGACACCTTCATTGCGCCGTGCTGCCTCCTCTCAGCACAACCACTTTCCAAATAGAGAGTTTGCTCCACACTATGTGCAACTGTTGATGGACAGACACCTTTATGATGCTTATTCAGTGGCGCCCACATGGATCTTACCAATCTAGGAGTTTTAAACAAGGCCACCCTTTCCTGATCCCTCAAAGTTAGTTCACCTTAGAAAGCTAAAATGACTATCAGGCCACTTGGCCGCCCAGAGCAGTGGACATATTCATGGCATGTAGTTCAACAGCCTTTCTTGACATCCTGCTGGCGTTGCTTCCCTGTAGAGAATGGCAGAAGATCCAAACGAAAGAAGGCTAACGTTCCAAGGGGAGAGGACCACCTGGATCACCCCTGTAACCCTGAACGACCTTGTGGAGCTGAAAACCAGTTTCCCCAAAGCCCCCATTGTCATGGGAAACACTGAAGTGGGTAGGTGCTTTTTAAGCATGTTCTTGAGATTAGGTAGCCCAAACATCCATGTTTCTTTTTCAACTTTTCATAAATGCAGTTCACTTTCATTAGTAGATACCTCTGATCCTTCAGAATGTTTTGTTGTGTTCTTTTGCAAATGATTCATTTGTCTCTCTGGATTATCAGCAAGCAACATATATTAGCACTCATTGTCTTTCTTTTATAATTGCTTTAAATGCTTTTCTCCTTAAGGACCCAGAATAAAATTCAGAGATGAATTCCATCCAGTTTTTATATCTCCACTTGGGCTTCCAGAACTCTATTTTGTGGACAGCACAGATGATGGTATGCACCTTTTTAAAAAAAAAAATAAGATGTAACCATTAGCTGCTGGTGGGCTATTAATAATCAATTATATGCACTGGGCTAATCTGAGAACATCATAGAATATCTGACTTCACTCACTCATTCAAAAATATTTATTGTGCACCTATTATGTGTCCTCTATGAACTTTTCCAAGCTGACCCACTCAGCTGTGTCTCTGTGTACTACAATGTCATAGGAGCCATAATGATGGGAAGATGCCACATAGCTCAGCCTAATACGGAAAGATTACTAAATAGAAAGACTAAAGACATTGGCTGGCCAGTTGGAAAGCTTCTTGCCTGATATCACTTCCTGATTCACAAATTTGCTAGAGGCTCATCCTACACACATACACACTCACCAAAAAGAAAAAAGATTTGGACCACAAGATGTGAAATTTAACCGTGAACAACTTTATTTATTTTTACACTCTTCACAATTTACTAAGTGCTTTTACGTCTCTTGTTTCTTTTGATCCTCACAACATCCCTGGGAGGTGGACATAGCAGATAGCCTTGGAACCTCCATTCTCCTAAAGAAGATACAGAATCAAAGGGCTTAAGTGACTTCCCAACTTCACGCAGCTAACACATGGTGAAGTCAGGACTAGATCCCAAGCCTTCTTACTCCTGGTCAAATGTTTCTTCCTCAAAATGCACCAGATAAGGCTGTCTGAGAAACATATCCCACTGTCCACTGACCACACTCAGCATGTGAATGGATAACAGCTTATAGAAGCTAAAAATCCCACATATGAGTGAATCTCCAAGAAGTAAATAGAAATCAAATGGAAAATTGTCTGCTTTCCCCTCTGACCTGTCAGTCTTAGTCTGCTCATTTTTTTTTTAACCTGTTGGAACGTCCATACCAATGTACTCACAGGGAGAGATGGAGCAAAAAGAGTCCAGTTAGAGGGCTGACAGGTGTAGAAGTACTTGGTCGGTGGGGGGTAGTGAGGTGGAGGGAATGGGGGTGTAGAGCCTGCAGACCTGTATCAGGGTTTCTCCACCTTTTCATTATGGCCTCTCTAAGGAGCAAAAGATTTTTTTCTCTAATCATCCCTCCATGAAATTTTAACACCACGGATAGACCATATATATCTGCATATATCAGGGCTTTATACATAAAAAGAGTAAGATTTTTTTCACCCACTTGGAGGCAGTATCACCCCCACGGAGGATGCATGAACTAGATGGCATCACTACTCAAAGCACTCCCCGTAAGCACACCTACAAATACAAGTGACCCAAGGTGCAGACAGGTGTCTGTTCTGGTTATTCTCACAAGGGAACACTAGGAAGAGATGGCTGTGTGACACGGGCAAAAGGGCAGTGCAGATTTGCAGATCAGTTCCTACTGAGGCTAATGATCTTTTAAAAGTCTTACAGGATCTTGGCTGAAATTTTCATATTTGATCAATTTATTCAGGAAAGCACAAAACTGGAAATAAACAAAGTAATGAATTCTAGATCTCTGTGGTTGATATATCCTAAAATGTAAAGCATATGCGACTGTATACATGACTGAGAAAAAATCTTCGGTATTTAATATTTGAGAATAAAGCCAATTGCCAGAAATATCTTTACCTGTGGTTTCTGTCTTTCTAAGTTAATGTGAAAAGAAAATATATATTTGAAAGATTATTTCCATGCAGCCCATGTATCTTGTTACCATTAACAACTTGTTAATAACAACTACTTGTTTCACTTTAAGTTTCCATTCACTACCCTACTTTCAGGGGTGACAATAGGTGCGGGATACAGCCTGGCCCAGCTGAATGATGCCTTACATTTCATTGTTTCTGAGCAACCAAAGGAGAAGACAAAGACCTACCGTGCTCTCTTGAAGCACCTGAGGACACTGGCTGGAGCCCAGATTAGGAATATGGCGGTATGTTCTCTAGTGTTATTTGAAATAAACCACAGTTGTACACAGGCATGCAGTTCTGTTCAGACTAGAAAACATTACCCTGAAGAGGAATCTCAAGTTAATGTCAAACAAGTCTCTACAATATGCATGTGAGTACATATGTATGTGCCCAAAGTGAGAGGTATCACATTGTGTGTATGTGTGTGTCCCAAGTGAGAAGTGACATATTGTCTCACAAGATTAAGGTATTGGAGTCTGAGTATGCCAGCCTGTCATCTATGAGTGAAATGATCCTGGAGAAGCCACGACCTCTGTAAGCCACTGTTTCTTCATTTCTAAATTAAGGTTCCACCACATGGACTGTCCCTAAGATCATGTCCATCTGTAGTAGTCCATGAAATATGTCTTATCCAAGGCATAATAAACAGCCTACTTTTCCAAAATACTCTTTTCTGGCTAGTTCTCCTTTTAGACCTTTGCACTGAGGTCAGTTTCCAAACATATGTATCTTGGATGTCCCCCTGTTTTCTAGCTTTTTGAGGTTTCTTTATTATTTAAGATTTAAGAATAGTAGATTGGAAACTATGGTTACCAAAGGGGAAAAGGCAAGAAAGGATAAATTAGGAGTTGTGGAGTAACAGACACACATTACTATATATAAAATAGATAAACAACAAGGACCTACTGCATAGCACAGGGAACTATACTCAATTTCTTGTAAAATAACATATAATGGTAAAGAATCTGAAAAGAAAACAATATATACGTATGTATACGTATAACTGAATCCCTTCACTGTACACCTGAAACTAACATTGTAAATCAACTATACTTCAGTAAGAAAAAATTTTTAAAAGAAGAATAATAAGTAGGAACTCCTACCTGTTCCCCACATGACGGGCAGTTCAGCAGGATTTGGTGGGGGCAGTTCTCCCAATTATCTCTGGCCCTGTTTCTGTCGATTCTCAAAATCCACTGTATGTTTTCACCTTCTGCATCTTCTGTCCCTTTTTCTGCACCACATTGTTCCTCTTGGCATCACCTTGCCCCCTTAACTCCCCTCAAAGGCCCTCCTTCAAGGGTATGTCGAAGCAGCTTTATTGACGGTTTGGGGTGATGAGAACTCTGTTGCACAGCTGCACAGCACGCATTTTGCGTGTGAGTGCCCCATATATCCCAGTTCTTAGCGTCTGCTCAGGCTCCAGTCTTCACTCTCCCTCATGTTATTGGCCACTCACGCTAGGGTCAGTTCTCAAAGAAATTTTCCTTCTCATTGCATATGGAAAAACAGTATTTTATCAAGCAGTAAGTTTGAACTGGGGTTAGGGGGTGGGAATCTTGCACAGTGGTTTGTCTGACTATATTTAACTGCCTCGGAAGTCTACCAGATCTTTCTATGAAACAAAGAAGAGAATTTTTAAGACTTCCACAAGATCCCTATATGCATAATTCCTTATTTGTCCAATAACTAAATGTAGCTTTAAAAATTATCTTCTTTTTTATTTAGACTTTAGGAGGACATGTGGTGAGCAGGCCTAATTATTCTGACCTAAATCCCATTTTAGCAGCAGGAAATGCTACCATCAATGTGATATCCAAAGGTAAGAGGCCAAGCCCTAAACATTTTATTTTAAAATTATCACTTTCAGTTGTATAGCTCCTTCCATAAATTATGAACTAGGAACCCAAATATATCTAACTTAGATTCACCAAATATTACAGACTATTTCTCTATTACCTCAGGCGTAAGGGTGAAACTGAGATCAATTATCCTCTTCTCCAGATGTTCTATACCTTGGAGATCAGATAAGTTACTGAATCCGACAATTTTTCTTAACTATTTGGCCACACTTGTGCACAGACCAAATTGTAGTAGCAAAACAATTAATCAAAGAAAAAGTTAAAGAGATGTATCTTTGTGATTATTAAGTTTAACGGCGTAGTTGAGTTCAGAGCTTCATACAGGTGAAAATTATTCTTACACTTTTCACTTTAAACAAGATCAAATTTGTGAGGCATATTACTTATTACTTCTCTCATCAGTCAAAGATGACTTGAACTTTGCCAAAGGACAATTATTTAAGCTTAAAAACAAATGCACGTTATTCACAGGGCTTTTGATATAAGATACCCTCTCTTTGATTAAAATCAAATTTTTAAAAATATGGCAGATCAAATAAGAGAGTATGGTAAACTGTTTAAGGAAAAATAAGCTATATATCAGGCATCTCACCTCTGCCTTTCATTCCATCTCTAGCTCTTCGGAGAGCTCACTTTACTTTTCTGGTCCTTGGGGCTCAGTTTTCCATTTGTGAAATACACTGTAACCATTGTATCCATTTCCCATTTGTGAACCTACATAGTACTAGGTTGTTTCCAAACAGCTTTAAAGTTCTTCAAAGTCAAAATTTTGTGAGTGGTGTATACTGGGTGAAAGAACCAGAGAAGACTTGACAGTTTATCAGATCCAGTCCTGCTCTTCTGCAGGTGAGGAACCAGAAGCCCCAGAGATTCCGTGACCTGCCTGCGGTGACCCAGCCTGGGAGCTGGAACTAGAATCTTCGTCTCTGGTCCCAGCTGTGCTCCCTTTTTCCACCAGATGTGTCACATCTGTCCCTTGCAGTATATTCTCCAATCTGATCAATTCATCCTAATCAAGGTCATTTTCTCAACAGAAGGAGAACGGCAGATTCCTCTAGATGGCCATTTCCTTGAGAAATCACCTGAAGCCAGCCTTAAGTCAGAGGAGATTGTGTTATCTGTGTATATTCCACACTCTACTCAGGTAGGGGCTCCCTGACCCGCTGCCAGCCCCAGGGAAGCCCAGCTCGCCCTGAGCAGCTAGCAGCAGGCAGGCTTCCGAGGGAGTAGCAACCTCTCCTTTTCCAGCCCGCTGCTGCAGGGAGCCCTCTGGGGCTGCTCACAGGAAGGGATACATTCCTGGATGACCATCTGATTTGCTTTGCTATCAGGGCCACCTTATGACCCTGTGGGCCCTGGGTACTTTGCCTTCGTCAGTCCCTTTCTCCATAAAAGATAAAAAATAAATATATGTGACTGAGTCACTGTAGAGATGGGTATAATCCAGGCTGCCTTCAGTGTTATATAGTCATTATTACTATATTCATTTTTTCTTTTGACTTTAAAAGAAATGAAAATGTTTCCATGAGCCTGTCCCTCTGCCTAAAGGATACATCCCCCCACCACAAAAGGGGAGCCTTTTGTGTGAAGCATGTTGGGTTTCAGACAAATATGCCATTTAGCCAAGACTGAGTAAAACTATAGTCAGCATCATCTACAGCAAGTTTCTGGCAAACTGAAAGCTGATTCCTGTAAAGTAACTTCCAAGTCAGCCACCACTTATTAATCAAATACTTTAAACAAAATTATTTATTTATTAACTACCTACCACTCTACATGCCAGACACAGTGCTAAACTCAGAAGACTACAAGGATTTAAAAGACTGAGGGTTGGGGTAGGGTATAGCTCAGTGGTCGAGTGCGTGCTTAGCATGTGTGAGGTCCTGGGTTCAACCCTAGTACCACCCTTAAAAAAAAATAGGTAAATAAACCTAATTACTTCTCCACAAAAAGAGTTTTTTAAAGAAGTATTTTTTAAAAAAAAGATGCACAATCCTGTCCTCAAAGGTCTCTAAATCTAAGACAAAGGGCTTGAGATAGGAAAAACTAATCATCTCAGACAGGGAATGAGTGGACAAAGAGCTGGAGTCATTCTGGTGTTGGGGAGAGCCCTGCCCTGGTGCTGTTAAAGGTGAGGGGAGGTATGGGATCAGCATACATTAGTGCAGAGAAGGAGGTAGTCATTCCAGGGTTTTCCTTCAATCATTAAATTTTTTTTTAAGTCTATGAAACAGTCAAAGAGTTAATAGTCTCATAGGGATGGGGGCTGGGAGGGGATGGCAGGTTGGAGGCCAGGCAGCAGGGCAGGGTGGCCGGAGCAGCCTGTGAGATGAGTCTGGAGGGAAGTTGGGCTCCATCGCCAAGCATATCTATTGCTCCATCCAAGAGTTTGTTCGAGTTCTAGCCAACAGCCACCTGTGAAGGCTTTAAAGAAGGTAAGATCTTAATGAAAGTGGTATTTTAGCACTAGAAAGATAGAGGATAATTGGTTGGAAGATAGACTGAAAGTTGAATGATCGTAATTCAGGCCAGAGAAGGTAAGGAGAAATGGAGAGGAAAGTCCCCACCAACCTGTACAGTACAGCAAATGTGACTGGTGTGTCTCAACACACTGATCTCTCTCTATCACCTTTGCTTTCTATATCAAAAATGTTTCATCCTTGACAGGATCCATGGTGGTGGAGTTTAACTCCCACCGAGATGCTGGCCACACAAAGAGGCTTTCCCACTTTATGGCTGTAATGTTTCACACCAGTAATGAAATTTAACCTAGAATGACAGATTTAAACCTGGAAAGCACTTTGGAAACCATTTTTCCTGTGATTTTCAAGCTTTTTTTTTTTAACAGTTAAACTCCTTATTCAAATGAAATTTACATAGAACATCAAACTAAAACAGTGAAAAGTAGAGGTGAGGTAGTTCACTGTGAGAGGCCCTCGCCCCTCTCAGCAGCCCTGAGGCACCATCTGGTCAAATCCAACCTTCTCATTTTAAAGAAAATTCAGACCTGAATAGTTTAAGTCACTTGCCCAAGGCCACACGTGGTGATTCAAAGTCGAAAATAGGTAAGCATAGAATGGAGCCAGACTGCTTGAATTTCAACACCAGCTGTGTGATTTTGTGCAAGTTACTCAACCTCTCAGTTTCTTTATCAGTAAATTGGAAATGAGTAGAGTTGCTGTGAGGATTAAATATTAATACATGCAAAGCGCATAGGCAATAGTCAGAGTCAGCATCACTGTATACTCAGTAACCATACTGATGTGAGACCCCATATCATTCCCAAGATCCTTTTCACTGTGAATAACCATCATAGTTGTTGCTCTCTGTCAGACAGTGGAGATAAGCACTGAATCTTGAGCATTTTTCTGTCTCCAGTGGCACTTTGTGTCGGGACTCCGGATGGCCCAGCGTCAGGAGAATGCCTTCGCCATTGTCAATGCTGGGATGAGTGTGAAGTTTGAGGATGGCACAGACACGATCAAGGAACTTCAGATGTTCTATGGGAGTGTTGGCCCCACTGTTGTCTCTGCAAGACAGACCTGCCAGCAGCTCATTGGGAGGTACATCATAGCACATCTGGAACATGACCCGCAGGCCTCTTCACTTTAATGTTTTAATGAAAATAGCACTTGGAGAAATTTTTTCTGAAGACAATAGATAAATTATATATACATATATAAAATTGTGCAGAAAATTTAAGCACTGCAGAAAAGTATAAAGAAAATAAGCCACCCAAAAACCAACCTCCTTCAAGATACAACGATTCTTTTGTTGCAGTTTCTGTAATGAGATTAATGCATTAATTAATCTAAGATATTCCCAGAAGTTGGGGAGCTTGATTTTAGTACTTTTTTTACCCAAGCTATTTGAGGTAAGTCAACATTCCCAGGCCATAAAGTTAAAAAATAATAAAAGCTTGAAGTTAAATAATAAAACATTTTTATTGTTAAATAATAAAAAATTAAAATTAAAACTATCATATGATCCAACAACTTCATTTCTGGGTATTTATCCAGAGAACATTTAAACACTAACACAGGTTGGGTATCAGTTATAACTCAGTGGTAGAGTGCGTGCTTAGCATGCACGAGGTCCTGGAATCAATCCCCAGTACCTCTGTTAAAATAAAACAAACAAATAAAATACAAATTTCCTCCTCCCCCCCGCAAAATAGTCTACAGCATACTACTCTGAATGCGCCCAACCTGTCTAATCTCGGAGGCTAAGCAGGGTTGGGCCTAGTTAGTACTTGGATGGGAGAAAATTAAAACACTAATTCAAAAGACATAATAAGCAGCCCAGGTTGACTGCAGCATTACTTACCACAGCCAAGATAATGGAAGGAACCCAAGTGTCCATCAGTGGATGAATTTATAAAGGAAATGTGATAGGATAGATAGATAGATAGACAGACAGACAGACAGACAGATAATGCAATATTATTCAGCCATAATGAAAGAAGGAAATCTTGTCATTTGTGGCAAATTGGATGGACCTTGAGGACATTATGCTAAGTGAAATATGTCAGAAAGGGAAAAACAAATACTATGTGATCTCACTTATATGTGGAATCTAAAACAAAACAAAACAAAAAATGAGCTCAGAGAGAACAGATTGGTGGTTGCATGACAGGGAGGAGGGTGGGTGGCGTGCAAAATGGGTGAAGGGGATTAAAAAAGTACGAACTTCCAGCTATAAAATAAATGTCATGGGGATGTAATGTGCAGCATGGTGACTATAGTTAATAATACTGCATTGTAATCTTGAAAGTTGCTGAAAGAGTAGATCTTAAAAATTCTCATCACAAGAAAAAATTTGTAACAATGTGCGGTGATGGATGTTAACTAGATTTGCTGTGGTGATCATTTCACATTATACACAAATATCAAATCATTATACACCTAAAACTGATACAATGTTACATATTAATTATATCTCAATTAAAAATTAAACTTTAAAAATAATATTAATAAAGGAGGACTTAGTAAGGAAAATTTGGGAACCACTGCATCAGATTCTAAAGAAAGCTAGTGAAATATTTGAGGATATTTTGTGTAGCCTTCAAAGATGAATACAGATTGTTCTCCATCTTTCCTTGCTCTGTTAGATCAATGTCTGTCTCTGTCTCTTCTGTGAAGTGTTTGCATTCTTTCTTATTAGGCAGTGGGATGACCAAATGCTGAGTGACGCTTGCCGATTGGTGCTGGGTGAGATTTACATCCCACCAGCAGCTGAGGGCGGAATGGTGGAATATAGGCGCACCCTGATCATCAGCTTGCTCTTCAAATTCTACCTCAAAGTGAGGCGAAGACTGAATAAAATGGTAACTGACCTCTCTGGTCTCTGGGAGTCCTGGCATTCTGGGCAAGGGTTGGTGCATGAAGATCCCTCAGCCTGGTTTTGATAATAGGTGGAGGGCGTGGGTGCGGGACCCGCAGTGTGGTGGTCCCCAGCCTCCACCGGCTTCCTCCTGGCCCTTGTGTTTCTCTCCTTCCCTCACCCTCCCTGACTCCTGAGCTGAGAACGGACAGCCTTGCTTTTCCATTTGCCTTATGATTTGTGTGACAAATGCTCATATGCAACACCGAGTTGATCTATAGTAGTGAAAAGCCTTCAGTAAGTAAATTATAATCCCTTTTCTATTTTAAAGAAAATTTTCTTATTAATATACTTTACTATTTCAAAAATGTAAGTCAAAAAGGAAGAGAAAGTCATTTGTAATCCCATCACCTATACATAACCATTATTAACATTTTGTTATGTTGCCTTCTAAACCCTTCTTTACGGATGTGTATTTATATATGTGTTTAGTATTGCTTGCTTGTTTCACTTAGTAACATAAATGTCTATCAATGTCGTTAAATATTCTTCAGTGACATCTTGACATAATGGTTGCATGGCATGTATATGGATAGTTGTGCCATAATTTGATCTATTCTTATTTTTGGACATTTAGATTATTTCTAGTTTTCTGCTAACTTTTTTTCTTACCTAACCCTACTTTAAAATGACCTCCACAGCACTGTTTCTCAGAATATGATCCATGACTGTGAGTGCCCCGTTGATAAACCATGAGCTGACCCCAAAATGGCAGATGAATGACTACACCCACATTTCTTTTATGGCTGAGAGCTTTACTCTGTTAGTTCAGCCAGTCTTTTTTTTTTAAATCATTTTTATCAACATTATTTATTAATAGTAGTATTATCATATTTTATTATACACTGTTGTATAGTCTATTCCTTATTTATAATATAATCAATGTAAATATTTAATAAATATATCTAATATATTATCAGATATAATTTCTCAAATATAATCTTTTAACTTATACATTGTATCTTATCATATATTCCCTTACATATTACATATTCTATTACATATTATCTCGTACAGAAGATTTCAAAATACAAAGAAGCAAAAATTTTTTAAATCCCTTGTAAGCCAGTAAGTCTATCATAACCACTCGATATTTGGAATGCATACTTTTACGTTTCTCTTTACTCTTCTTCTTTTACAAGAAAAAGGAATTATACTGTACATAAATTTTGTAGCCTATTTTCTTCACTTAACTATATTTCATGAGAGTTTTTCAGTGTCAATATACACACTGCTACAGAATCATTTTTAATGACTGCAGCATATTGCATCTTATGTAAGTACCATAATTCATTTATCCATTTCCTTGTTTCTGGATATTTAGGTTAATTCTAGTTCCTCCACTGTCACAAATAACCTATAATTAAACATCTTTGAAGGTTCGTTTTTGTCTCCTCCCTCGGTTTCTTCCTTGAAATACATGCCTAGAAGATTGACCTGGATTTGAAAGCACGCTTACATATTTTCACCGATTCACCTTGTTGTAAAGTGAAGTCTCTACTTTCTAGAAGTAACACTCTTCTGTGTGTACAAATAGATCTACTTATTCTTCAAATAACAGCAACTAGCCTAGGGAACTCAAAGCTCAGGGCTCTTTCCCAGCAGATCTGGTGTCTAATATCTGGAAGAATAAATCGGACAACATATTTTTGCATGTGTTTGTCCAAGCTGGTCACTCGGGTTGTAAAAGTAAACGTGAAATAATCTTCTCTTCAGGATCCCCAGAAGTTTCCCGATATCCCAGAAAAGTTCATGAGTGCTCTAGAAGACTTCCCCATAGAAACACCCCAAGGAATTCAGATGTTCCAGGTCAGTGGGTAGGGATTTTTGTTTTTTAATCTGTCTATGCATTCAGATGTATGCATGCTGCATATACCTCCCTTCTTTTTGGCAACTATATTTTTATTACTTGTAAAGATAAAGTCAGTTAAAGCCAGCTGATCTTACACATTGTCACCCACGCATGACTTGCTTGGTTTAGCTTCTATGCTTTTACTCGAGGCTACACAAGGAATTAGATTCTAAATCTCCCTTCCCTACTATTTTCAGTTTTGCTGCTTAAAATTTCCTCCTTTTCTTGACCAATGTCTGTACTTTTTTAAAAAACTTAACATTTACTGCTTCTAGAAAGACTTCCCTGCTTCATTAGAACCACTATAAATCCCCCAGGAACTTGTGTATTTTTCTTGCACCAAATTAGTTGTGTAAGCTATTCTTTATTGCTATACAAAGCTGATCACATTGTGTTAATGTGTTTGTGTGTATTCTGGTACCTTAACTAGGTTGTAGAATCTCTGAGGGCAGGAAAAATGTCTTCCATTTTGGGGGGTGAGGGGGTAGTTGTAATCAGAATTTATCCTTTACCGTAGTACCCAATGGATATTGATTAACTTTGACTCACAGACATGAATACACAATTGTCTATATTTTTTCTTGACTTTGGGGTAAGCCAGATATATCAGATCCAATTTTCAGTGCATGAGAATGTCTGGCAGTAAAATAACTTGCTTTATTCATTAACAGTGTGTGGATCCTTACCAATCCCCACAAGATCCAGTCGGTCACCCGATCATGCACCAGTCGGCCATTAAACACACCACAGGGGAGGCTGTGTTTGTTGATGACATGCCCCCTGTTGCCCAAGAACTCTTCCTGGCTGTAGTCACCAGCACCCGAGCTCATGCAAAGATCATGTAAGGAAATTTAAAACATTCCTATATGTTACTGGAAAACATTCACAATTTCATATTCAAATTGAGAGTTTATTATATATTTAAGTCAATTAAGAATAATTTCCTCTTCTGGATGGTAATCAGTCATTTTTAAGCACAGTTATGAAAGAACTTATGGCCAAGTCAGAATGCTTACTAAATACTGGCTCTTTTCAACATAGAATACTGCCCATGACTTAGTTATGAGGCCCACTGTAGTTTTTCCCAGTGTTTGAGGAATCATTTATATTAGCCTGAACTCACCTCTGAAACTTTAATGTGGACTCTCAAATTTTCCCTCCTAGAGCAATTGATGCTTCAGAAGCCCTGGCAGTTCCAGGTGTTGTTGATGTGATCACAGCGGAGGACGTTCCAGGAGATAATAACCATCATGGAGAGGTCTTCTATGCACAGGATGAGGTGTGTGATTAGTGTATGGCTTACTATTCAAATGCTCTGCTGGAAATGCTGAAAGATTACTGGTTATGACTGTAATATCCATGGATTCGGTTCACATCACAAGATCTGCAGGGAACCAGTGACTCCACCTCAGCAATTCTCAGATTCTCCCTTGAATTGTGGACGCTTTTGAGATTCTGTTAAAGGCCATAAACCCTCTCAGGGAAGGCTTCTAAAAATTCATGAACATTATAGAAGCAATACAGAGCAGAGGACTTTGAAAGTATCAACAGAATTTCAGGGTGACTGGATTATTGTGTGTGATATGGGAATGTGAGGAATGCAGCTGAAAACAATCACAGGCCAGATAATTAAATTCCACATCCAACTTCCATACCCGCTAAATCCTACTCAAGCTCCCCTACCCCGTTCAAGGTTTATTCTCATAGGTTGAAAAACACAACATGTGACTTTTCTGCAGGTAATCTGCGTGGGTCAGATTGTCTGCACGGTGGCTGCTGATACCTACGCTCATGCAAGAGAGGCTGCTAAAAAGGTGAAGATCACATATGAAGATCTGGAACCAAGGATTATCACGATAGAGGTACGCAGGCCATTTCGTGTCTTCTAGAATGACTAGGACGGTATAAATTTGACAGAATTCAACCCATGGAGTCACAAAGCAGTATAATTTGGGTTCTGTCTATAACGTGTTCAGAGTTATCTATAGTTTTAGAGAGAAGCCTCCAGCAATGCACCTTGAGGCATAATACTGAGAATTTTCCTGTCTGGAGCCCCTTCCTTCCTGTGTCCACTTCTTTTCTGATGGCGTCTTGCCACGGCGTGGCCGCAGAATACAGATTAGCAGCACCAGGGCAATGTCCAATGGCCTCATATCCAAAACTAGTCAGGGGGATTATCTAATGTAGTGTGAAACTCAAAACAGTTGTAACATTTACTGAATTACAACTTGGGTCCTCTGTCTCCCTGCCCGCTTCCTGCTTAAACACAAGCTCTGGAGATAGATACTCCGGCTAACAGTCTGACTCAGTCATTTAATGGGCTCTTGACAGCAATGAAAGCTTTGGCCAGTTGCTTAAACTTCTTATACCTCAGTTTCCTCATCTGTAAAATGGGTACTATGAAAGTTTCTACACCAAAAGGTCACTGCAAGGTTTAAATGAAATAATTCGAATGCTTAGAACAGCACTTGGGACATGGAATGCATTCAATAAATATTAGCTGTTATTTTGTTTCAGTTGTTATTAATGAGGTCAAGAACATATTCACAGTGCTTTATAACCCAAGTACCTAGTGAAGCACTAAACCCATAGTAGGTGCTCAGTAAATGTGTGTGATGGAGGGATAGATGGATAAATGTGTGTATACACAATATAAAACCCAGCCAAGTAGGGTGAAGCCTTCAGCATCCTCTTTGATCTTTCTCTGATCTTTCCAACATCTACCAAGGTCATATCTTTCCCAGTTATCATTTAAATGCCCCTTAAGCCTGTCTCCTTCTTTCCATTCTCATTTGGACTCCCATCTCACCCTCCAGCCCACTCCTTACCTCCTATTATCAGACTTACTACAATAAACACTTAAAGAGGTTCTTGTACTCTATTTCAATCCATCCACCCACCATATTAACTTTCTAAGCCATGAAGTTCATCAGATCACTTCTCTTATACAAGAGCGTCACCTCAGGTAAGGTTCTTAGTGTGGAACTCAAGGTCTTTCTTAGTCCAACCTCAGTCCACCTTTCAAGCTCATCCAACTGCTTCTTGATAGAAAACCTCCACCTACCCAGCCTGGCTTTTTTCTCATTTTGGCCCCTCAGCTTGGTTTCAACCTCAAATTATTGCTTAATGAGGCGCCCTTGACTTTAAATGATTCTCCCCCTCTTCTCTAACTGTCCTAATTCCATTCAGTTCAGCACCTAACTTAGGTCACCTACACAAAGTCATCCCTGAGCATTCCTGGCCCCACAGACCTCCTCCTTCTTGACCTCTCTTTACTCTGATATCTGCCGCCCACCACCACTAAGTTGTCATCTTAAGACCACACTGCCTCAGGCACTCACTCAGCAGTCTAGAGAGTGGGACCATATTTTTATACATCCTTGTCTGTCCTTCAGCTCTTCCTCAGAGCCCTGAACAAAACAAAGGAGTCACCAGTGTCTATAATCCATTTGAACCCAATTCCTGCTCACTCTCCTCACTGCCCTGATTGTCTTGGTGTGTGAAGATACTGTAGAGTAGGAGCTCTGGATTTTGATGGATAATGAATGACTTACTAGAATTTTTTTTAATTGGTTTGTTTTGGTTTGTTTTTTCCCCTACAGCAAGCCCTAAAGCACAATTCATTTCTCACTGTTGAGAAAAAAATTGAGCAAGGAAATGTAGAGCAAGCCTTTAAATATGTTGACCAAATCATTGAAGGTAAGTGGTCTTGGGCCTCTGAAGTTCAAGACTAAATTCAGTCATCTGGTTTGAGAAATACTAACACTAAAGCAGAGCTTCTCAACCCTAGTGTGATTTTTAAATCACAATTTTAAATGCACAAATAATAAGTTTATAGCTGGATGAAACTTCACATATGTATCAATCTGCGTAAATACTACGCACATCAAGATAGAGAATATTTCCAGCACCCCCAAAAGCTTCCTTGTGCCCCTCTCAGTCAGTGACCCACCCCAAGGTCTGACTCTCACCTTTACCACTATAGATTAGTTTTACCTGTTTTGAACGTCACATAAATGGAATCTCACAGTATGATTTCTTCTGTGCTTCTTCTTGCATTCCATATGGAAGATATGTCCTTGTTGCTGCATAGGTCCATAGTTCTTTTCCATTGCTCAGGAGTATTCCATTGTATAAATATTCCATAATTTATTTATCCATTTTACCTTTGATGACCATTTGAATTGCTTTCAGCTTGGGGCTGTTATGAATAGTTTCTGTAAACACTATTATTATTATACATGTCTTTTGGTATGGAATATACTCTGGAGTAGAATTGCCAAATAGTAATGTTTTAATATTAAACTTTTTTATTTTATTTTTATTTTTTATTTATTTTATTTTATTTTTATTTTATTTTTTTATTATTATTATATTATTTTATTCTATTTTTATTTTTATTTTAACCTTTAATTATTAACCTCTAGTTAATGCCATTTTTTTTACTTCCCAATTTTACTCCTAATAATAATTGTGAAATTTCCATTGTTCTTTCATTCTCATCAGTTTTTTTAGTTTTATCTACTCTAATGAGTGTATAGTAGTATCTCATTGTGGATTTAATTGAATTTCTTTGATGCCTAATAGTATTGAACAGTTTTCATGTGTATATTGGTCATTTTTATATCCTCTTCGATGAGATGTTTGTTCAAGTCTTTTGCTTGTTTTTAGTTAATTAAAGTGATAATTATATATTATTGATTTTAATATAACTAATGTAATAATTCATCGATTTACTTACTGATTTATAGGAAGGTTTTTATGTTTTTGATATGAGTTCGTCCCTGGTTATGGGCATTGCAAGTATCTTCTCCCAGTCTGTGGATTGCATTTTCACTGTCTTCATGGTTCCTTTTCATGAACAAACGTTCTTAATTTTAATAAATTCCAGTTTATCAGTCTTTTTTATGGTTAGTGCTTTTGTGCCGTGAAGAAATTTTTGCTTATCCAAATGTCATGAAGATATTTTCCTGTGACTTCTCCTGGAAGCTTGATAAAATGTTTTAGCTTTGACATTTAGGTCTATGATCCATCTCAAATCAGTTTTTCCTTATAGAGTGAGATGGGGGCCAAGCTTCAGTTTTTTTTTCGAGTTGATATCCAGCCGACTAGCACCATCTATTGAAGACTGTCCTTTCCTTTACAGAATTGCAGTGCAGCTTTTATCGTTTTCCAGGTTTCTATGACTGTGTTATTCTATATCTGAACTCTGCTACACACCACTCATCTGTTTATCTGTCTTTGTGCTAATACCACACAGTCTTACTTGCTGTAACTTTATAATATGCCTTGAAATCTGATGGTATAAGATCCTTTTGCTCCTTCTTCTTCAATATGACCTCAGCTATTAGGTTCTTTGCATTTATGTATATATACATTTATCATTAGTTCTTCAATTTCCACTAATAATAATTTTCTGAAATTTTGACTGGAACTACATTGAAACAGCATCAATTTGAGAGGATTAAAATCTTGACAATATTAAGTTCCAATCCATGAGCATGATAGACTCTTTTATTTACATTTACTTTCATTGCTCTCAGTAACTTTGTAGTTTTTACCATAGAGATCTTGCACACCCTTCTTAATATTTATTTCTAGTATTTGATGGTTTTTAATGCTATTGTAAATGATACCTTTTACTTAATTTTCTACTTATTTGTGTCTAATGCATAAAACACAATTGGCTTTTGTATACTGATCTTATAGCCAGGAACTTTGCTAAATTCACTTACTATTTTAATAGTCTTATAGATTCTCTTGAATTTTCTGCATATATAATCATATCATGACAGTTTTATTTATCTTTTCCAATCTTAATACTGTATTTGTTTGTTTGTTGTTTTGAATTACTGCACTAGATAAGACTTAGCCAGTAAGATTTTTTTTTTTAATACCAATACCCAGATCCCTCAGATCCCACCTCAAACCAATGAAATCAGAACCCTGGACTATCAGGTCAGAGCATTAGTATTTTTTAAAAGTTCCCTAGGTAGGTGATGCTCATGTGTGGCCAAGGTTGAGAGACTACTAAGAGAATAACTACTGGTCTTAGGTAAAAGAAAATAGTGATTTTTACAAAATCTATTACCTACTTCTAAATAACTGGACTGGCAAGTGCTGTAAGCTTTTATCTTTTACTAAAACCTAGGAGAGGCCTTTAGAACATTTGTTTCCCAACATCATTCAGTTTAAGCAGAAAATGCAGACTGACTCCCAATTATAAAAATAATTCTCTACCTCTGAGGAGTAGTTAAATACAACCAGGAAAGCCAGGAAAGCTGCTCAGAGGTTTGACAGTATCTACTCTTGTGCCAAAAATATATTACTTCATAATAAATTTTATAGAAGAAACTAAATGAGTTTTGCAAAGACTATAAATTTGGGTGAAAGGTTACTTAGTCATAATAATAATATCAGCTAACATTTATCATGTACTTACTGTGCCACACACTATGCTAAGCATTTTACATGTATTATATTATTTAATCCTGACAATAACCTCAAGAAATGAGTATTATTATTATTGTTATGCCTATTTTAAGCTGCTAAGTATTACTGCTCACTATTTAATATGCAAGCAGAACACTTCTAAGAAGGAACATATCAGTAGTTCCATTTTACAGATGAGGAAACTGAGGCTTAGAAAAGTTAAATAATTGGCTGAGGTCTCATATCCAGTTAGCAGTGGAACCAGGACTGGAGCCTAGGACTGGCTGACCCATAGGCCCTTGCTCTTAACTATGTTGGTATATTTTCCTTTAATTTTTATTCTCACTGAGGGTAACAGAGTGACAAGTTGCTACCTCTTTGTCATTCAGGATTTTGGTCATTGTGGGAGTCAAAATCTGGGGACAAATGGGACATTTGAAATACAAAGGGTATTTGGAATTTGGGCCGAAATGACTAAGAGTTACAGAGAATGCAGTGTCTTACAATAGTTAAGAGCATGGATCCTGGGGTCAGATTGCCTGAGTTTGGATCCCAGCTCTGCTATTTATTGGCTATGTGGCCTTGGGAAGCTTACTTAACCTTTCCATGTCTCAGTTTCCTCATAATACCTGCCTCACAGGATTGGAATGGGGATTGAATAAATTACCTGTAAAGTTCTTGGCCTTAGAACAATACCTGGCATATGTGAAAGCTACTTATTTATTAAATAAATTTGGGTTTAGATTAAATTCAGTATATACATGCTGAAAGCAAACTTTTTTTTGGAGGGGGTTGTATTTTTTGCATGACTCACACTCTGTTATCCCAAGAAATAACTTTAAGAAATCCTTTGTCTCCTGACACAATTCACTTATTTTAACAGTACAGGAGTCTTTTGATTAAAGTAAAACTACCACCTTCCAAATGTTTAAACAAGGGCCAAATGCCTCTCTTGGTACAGCCTACAAAATAATAAGGATATACTGAACAGAACAAAAATCTCTGCTAAGCCAGTAAGAGTAGGCTGGTATTAGGGAACAATCTCAGCTCTGCCATTTTAAACCCTTGTGTGCTTTAGCAAGCTACTTCTCTCTGTGACTCAATAATTCTGACATCACCTAAATGGGGTACATAGTATTATTACCCCCCATTTTACAGATGAGGAATCAAGGGTTTCATAACCTGGCCAAACTCACTGAGCAAAGAGATGACAAAGCCAGGATATGTGGCCAGGTTCGTCTGTGTGCCCAAGTCCAGCACATCACAGATCTCAGCACCCACCAGACAGATAAGGAAACTGAGGCTGGGAGAGGGGAGTGAATCACCCAGGGTCATACAGCGGTGAGGTCCAGTGATGATTAATGAGAAAAAGTATTTTAACCAAATCATATAAAGTCCAGCTCTCCAAAAGCTGAAGTAACTTGCTCTTGATAAACTAAACACCATCGCAAGCCCCCAGGTTGGGACTTTCCAGTAAACACTGTCCTGTGTTTATGCTTTACAGGTGAGATCCACATGGAAGGACAGGAACATTTTTACATGGAAACACAGACTATCCTGGCTATACCTAAAGAAGAAGATAAAGAAATTGTGTTACACCTTGGAACACAGTTTCCAACCCATGTGCAGGTAACAGGATATTTTTGGAAAATGAGACTCCAGAGGCCCTTACAACCAGGCCTTCCACTCTAGGGGCCTTTTGATTCCTCCCACTCCCACACCTGGAACTCCCTGCACACTTGACATTGGCTGAAGCCCAGAATGAAGGAAATGGGGCAGATATTTCCCTGAAAGGGCAGACCTTTCAAAGAGATCTGAAAATTTTGTTACCTTCCAAAATAGAAGGCCAAGTTCATCTTTCCCTCGTAACAATTGATAATGTAAATCTTCATCTCAGGGAGATCAAAGCCTTAGTGTTACAACCACAGTTCCTTTTGTGGTTCATCTACCTTGCTTCTCTGTATGAAAGTTTTCATGTATTGGTGGTGCCCATGTAAAGTGATTGCATTTCCAAGCCATTTTCAGCTCAACATGGTAGTATTTGAATTCCAGCCCTGTTCCACTGGTTGAACTATAAGGCATTGTCACACACAGGCAAGCAAGGAAAATCCTCGACATTCCCCTCTTCTGAAATGTGGAGTTGTAGGTCCTCAGATAGTGGCAGGCACAGGAGGAGGAGGTCTGGGAGGAGGGATAATGACAAGTCTCACTGAAGGGAAAAACTCGGGGCTTCCTGGTGGAGCACAGTGAGGTGGTACCCCAAGGTCGGGAAGGGCGGCTAGCCTCAGTGGGAGGAGGAAGCTCCCAGCTGCCATTCAAGGCAAAATGAAAGACTGAGGGACTGATGCTGAGCTGGGGTTGGCTGTGACCTCCACAGTCATAAGTTTTGAAGTGGAAGGAGGAAGAGAGAGGAGATAAGGACTCTGCCCCTAAGCAGATACATGATCTCCCACAAGTCGCTGGACATCAATATCTTCTTTCTGTAAACTGAAGAAGTTGTTAAAGATCACCTCTGAGGTCTCTTTTGACCGACAGCCAAGGAGTAATGTGTGTGTCCCAAGGTCACCCTGTTATCTCCCCTCAGCACCTCCTAAGCTAGTCAGTCACGACAGCAGTGACCCTTTCCCCAGGGTGACGAGGGCACTGGGTACTCACAGCCCATAGCCCACAGCCCAGAACTGGGGGCAGTATCCAAAGCAGGCCCAGTAAAGAATTTGAATAGACGTTTCTCCAAAGAAGGTCTATGAATGACTGATAAGCACAGGACAAGACGCTCAGCGTCATTAGTTGCCAGAGAGAAGCAAATGAAAACCACCACAATACCACCTCACTAGGACGGCCAAGTCAAAGGACGAACAATGACAAGCCAGGCTGTGGAGACATGAGGACATTCACACCTCGCTAGTACCCATAAAAAATGTCACAGCCACTTTGGAAAACAGCTTGGCAGTTTCTCAGGATGTTAAAGATAGAGTGATCATATAACCCAGCAATTTCACCCCCAGGTATCTACCCAAGAAAAACGAAAATAAATGGCCACACAAAAACTCCCACACAGGTGTTTATAGCAGCATTATTCACAATAGCCGAGTGGAAACAACACAGGTGTCCATCAACTAATTAATGGATTAAAAGATCTGGTATATCTATGCAATGAAATATTATTCAGCCACAAAAAGGAATAGAGCACTGATATGTGCTACGACATGGACAAACGGTGAAACACAATGCTCGCTGAAAGAAGCGAGTCATGAAAGACCCAATATTGCATTATTCCACTTACATAAAAGGTTGAGAACAGGCAAACCTATTAAGACAGAAAGCAGATTAGTAGTTGCCTCATGCTAGAGGGTTGGGGGATTTAAGATTGGGGGAGACTAGGAGTGACTGCTTAATAGATACAAGGTTTCTTTGGGGATGCTTAAAATATTCTAAAATCAGATTATGATGATGATTGCACAGTTCTGTAAATGTTGTATTTGTTCAATTACTGAATTTCTTTTACTAGGCAGAGGGGAGGTACATGAGTAAGGAAATAAACTATTAAACTGAACTTCTGTGGCTTTGGGGACTTACCTCTTACAGGAATTTGTGGCTGCAGCACTAAACATCCCAAGGAGTAGAATTGGGTGTCACATGAAAAGAACTGGAGGAGCATTTGGGGGAAAAGTGACCAAGCCCGCTCTGCTAGGAGCTGTCAGTGCTGTGGCCGCCATCAAGTAAGAACAAGTCACAGTGCCTGCAGGGCAGTTGCTACCCACGTCCCCTCAGTCTTGGATCCCGGCTCTCAACCCATTGGTCAGCCCTTTATTTCCAAAGGGTGTGGTTAGCATGTGGGTGAAGTAACTCTGGACCTGGAGCCAGAGAGCCTGTGTTCAAGCATTGCTCTGCCCACTCACTCACAAGGTCACCTTGGGCAAGACGCCTTAGTTTCTTCAGTTATAAAGTGGTGAAAGTAAGAGCTACCTGCTTCCCAAGATTGCTGTGTGAAATAAATGTAGCTACAGTAAATTTTGACTCATTGTATGCATAACTATGTACTACTTTTTCATGAGCTGCATTGATTTCACTCTTTAAAATGTTTATGTTTTAAATCACATGGATGAATCAAGCTGAGTGGAGGGAGGGTCCAAACCACAACCTTACAAGGGACATATTTTGTCATGAAATAAACCAGGGTCTGTTGCTGCCTGGGAATGTTCTCTTAGCCCCTACATCATCTGGATGGAATAACCAGACCCAGGAATAGCCATGACTTTTGTGCATGAACTTTGTAACTACCAAAGTTCACTAAGCATATTCAGGACAAACTTAGCTTAACCCAGGCTCCCGCTACAAAAAAAAAGACTGTGAATGTTTTCACTCATTGGCACTTGCCAACAGTAGAAAAGATGGTCTAGTAAGTACAGATGTGCAGGCCCTGGGAGCATTCCTTCAGAAGTCAGAGGAGTCTCCACTGGACACTTCATGAAAGAAGAGTCTGAGTGTGGAGGAGCAACAGCTTGCTTGACAAAGCATTGGTTCTCAACCCTTGCAGCCTCCAAGTCCCTCTTATAACAAATATTTTAATTCCCCTTTCACTATCCCAATGCAAGATTCATAATATAATCTACTTACATACATAATTTTAAAATCATCATACAATGTTTTAATGTAATATAAAACAGAAATAAAAGGAAAGTAACATAACCATATAATGTATCATTTCAATATCTAAATTCTCAGATATGACTAAAGCAGAATGACTATAGTAATAAGGGCTTTTTTTTCACATTTTAATGCCCCCACAAACTTCCAAAATGTTGTTTAAGGTATGTTACTACCCCTACTGATAACCACCAAACTAGATTATCTTAAGCCCCCTTCCCGGTCTCAGAGTACTTACAACTTTCTGAAGCATCCAGCACACTAAGAGAGTCGTTTCCTGTAGGACCGGCCGCCCAATACGGTTTATTCTGGAACGTGGTGATGACATGTTGATAACTGCGGGCCGCCACCCACTTCTCGGAAAATACAAAGTGAGTGAAAGCAAAAACTTCAAGAAACTGCTTAAAACATTGTCCAGTGATAACCAACCAATAGTACTAAATACTATTAGTACATATAATAGTACAATTACTAAATTCCGTACCACTTGAAAGGGATATTTGGGTGCTGGGTAAAACTAGCCAGAACGTTGTTTTGGGATAACGGTCTACTTGGGCACCATCCTCAGTGTTCCTCTGGTGACTGTCACATCAAGTCATGTGCATGAGTGAGGAATGGATTGGCAAACTGTGATCAGGTGTTCGTGTACAGCACGGGCTGGTTGTAGAGGACTATTGAGGAAATGGTTTTACCTATTGTATCACTTTGCAGATTGGATTCATGAACAATGGTGTGATCAAAGCTGCTGATGTTGAATATTATATCAACGGTGGATGCACTCCTGATGAGTCTGAGTTGGTAAATAAGAACTATGCCTTTCCCATAGGTTACCAGTTGACCTGTATGTGTCACACTTTATTTGCATGAATATTTGGCATACAAGTTAAATTCTGTGAAGGGTTCAAGTTAGAGATAAAATTTGGATAAGTGGTTTTGACTATTTGATAGACAAGAAGTTTTGTTTTGTTTTGCCTTCATTCAGGTTATTGAGTTCGTTGTGCTGAAATCTGAAAATGCATATAATATTCCTAATTTCCGGTGCCGGGGTAGAGCTTGCAGAACAAATTTGCCATCCAACACTGCTTTTCGAGGATTTGGATTTCCCCAGGTCGCGGTGGTAGTCGAAACTTATATAACTGCTGTGGCATCTCAGTGTAACTTACCCCCTGAACAGGTAGGTAATCAGTCAGAATGCCCTAAAAAAATTTGACACCATGGGTTCAAATATGTATTGAGCACCCACGTACAGCATTATGTCATCTCCTAAGTAGATTCAAAGAAACAAAGTTCATCATCTAAATATCAGCTCTTGCTGTGTAACAAGTCAGTCACAAAACTTAGTAAATTAAAATGACCAATAGCACTTCTGATTCTGTGGATCAGCTGGGCACCTCTTCTGATCTGGGCAAGCTCAGCTGGAGTTTCATGGTCTAACATAGCTTCATTTGCACGCCTAGTGGTCACTGGGCTGATTGGTCTAGGGGGTATCTCAGCTGAGAAGGATCTCATCCTCAAGTGGTCTAGCCCAGATTAGTCCTCATAGTGATTCAGAGAATTCCCAAGAGTGGTAAGAACATGGCAAGCCTAATGCATAAGCACTTTTCAAGTCTCTGCCTATATTGTACCATTGGCCAGACAAGTCACATGGCCAATCCCAGAGTTGGTGTGAAGGCATGTGAGGGTGTGAATAGAGAGAGTGGAATGATTATGGCCATGTGTGCAAACATTCTGGCACAGTTCAAGATTTTGAGGAATTAATCTGAGAACAGTTAAGAATAAGGAAACACTGTGTAGGAGTTAAAGAATTTGAGGTCAGGAGAATTTTGTCTCAGCACTAACAAAACTTGTGAGAGTTCATAATAGTTGGGACCTACTCTTTCTTAGCGTTATTGTAAAGTTAACTGAGAGAATACCCTTAGCCCACAGCCTGGAGCATATGAAGTTTTCAATAGTAGTCTTTATTGTTATTATGATGATTGTTATCATCAAATTTATACATGTACACTTATACCTACATGTTCATAGCCATTTAAATAGTTGTTTCTTATTTTAGAAAGATTTTCTTCATATCAAGGATGTAACAAAAATGCATGCCTCACATAGGAAATAAGCATATATCCTTGAAATCCATTTTATTTTCTTGTCTTTCAGGTTAAAGAAATAAACATGTATAAGAGAATTAGCAAAACAGCCTATAAGCAGACATTTGATCCAGAGCCCTTGAGAAGATGCTGGAAAGAATGTCTGGAGAAATCTTCGTTCTCTGCTAGGAAATTGGCTGCTGAGGAATTTAACAAAAAGAATTACTGGAAGAAGAGGGGGCTTGCCGTGATCCCCATGAAATTTACCATTGGGATGCCCACAGCCTACTACAATCAGGTGGGTCTGAGCGGTATGTCTTCTCACCAAAAGCTCTTTTCCCCATGACTAGCTGTCTGAAAAAGGCAATCATGAGCAAGTAGGGATGTTCTCCTCCAAGGAGAAAAAGAAACAGGGCAGCTTCCTACACCAAGAAACAAGGTGGATTTGGCAAGTGTTGGCGACCACGGGTGTCAGAGCAGACCTGGTGCAACACAGTACCAGCGACCTCGGAAAGCAATCAATGGATTAAGTCGGGCTCAAGGGGGCCAAAGCCTTGGGCAGGGCCCAAACGCGAGTACTGGAGTATGTGGAAAAATTTCAAATCCATGAGAGAATTGGGGGAAATAAGAAGATTCCTTTCTCTCTTTCCTAATTTCTTAGTGACAGCAGGTCATTTGAAGACAGAGATTTAAAAAAAAAAAAAGGAGAGGGAGAGAGAACAAACAGAGCTACCCCATTCACACAGAAGCTTGGAATTCCTATATTGAGGCTCATAACTACTGTGCCTCCTTCTTAATTTCACCTTAAACAGTTTTTCATGTCTTTTTTTTTTTGCTTTGAGCCTCATCAGTCTCTGAAATATTCTCATAACCAAATCCATGCAAAGGAAGGAATACAGGCCGCCTTCCTGGTGTGAATGAGGTGTGATCAAGCTGTCTCTTGCAGAAATGACCCTGGATACATGCGCTTCCTTAGAGTCCACTAACCAGTGAGGAGGTGGGAAGGAAAGCCAGGGGAGTTTGGAGCAGGTGTTCAGTCTTTCCCTCTGGTAGTATTTCTCAAGCCAGAATAACACACAGACCCCCTTTAAAGGAAAAAAATTCTTGTGGCCTCTCAATGGTAGCTTAAATTATTTCTTTTCAAGTTTTTTTAACTGTAGGTAACCACAAAATAAAGAAGATGCTTCTTATAGCTTTTATGCCTTTATAAAACACAAACAAATTTGGAAATTATATAAAAATAATACTATAAATGCCAGTAATATTCAAAACAGTAACAGTAACTTAATGTGGTGGGTTATGCTGCTTTTCTGGAACTAAATCCTCACTTACAAAATACTGGTGGTTCTGGCTGCTGTTACACAAAGCATTTTGAAGTCATAATGTAAATCATAATGTAATTGTAAAGGTCTGTGTAGTGTGTGATGACTCGCTGCCCGACTTCTTGTCTCTAATATGCCCCATCAATCAAAGTAGGTTATAGTCATTGTCATAAAATCTGACATGGGCTCTGAGAGCACGGGGCAGTACTTCTTGATACACGGTCATTTGTTGTTCTTGTTAGATTGTCATGAGGTGAAAACACAAAGTTTGAAAGTTACTGTAGAGAACTTGACGGTCCTGACAATGCAGTCGCAGACCCAGGAGACCTGGCATAGCTAAGCTAGTTGACATTTTGAATGTGTGGTGACAGGGCACAGGTGTCCACACGAGGGTAGAGGTCCCAAGGGGTAGAGGCAGGATGCTGGGCCAAGTGCACGAACAAATGACAGGGACTTCTGTAAAGAAAAATCCCAGTGGCCTGCAGAGCCCCGGACGTATCCCGGTGTCCTGCCTGCTGTCGTCCAAACCGGGAGCCACAGCACGGCCTGCAGACTCTTCCATCAGAACAGCCAGCCCGAGAGGGGCAGCACCAGTTCGTTCGAGGGAGGCAGTGGGGCGTGGGTGTGGGGGACACTGGGCTTGGGTCCTTAACTGCAAACCGGGCACCGGGGTTTGGCCACGTCTCCTCCCGGGTAGGCTTCTACCCCCTGCGTGCAAAGTGAAGAAGCTGGACTGAATCAGTATATCCCAAACCTGGCCAGTCATCAAAACCTCCTGGGAGTTTAAAAAAATGGGCATTTGAGCTCCAAGTCCAACCTACTCAACTGGAATTTCTAGAATGGTGTCCACAGCCCTCGCCCACCATGTTTCTAAAGGTCAGCAGCATTTGGAAACTATTAAAACAGCTCAGGTTTCTCCCAGCTCCTTTAGTATCCAGGGCAGGTTGTGCCTGGAAATTTACTTATACAGGTTCCATTTGTTTTAAAATTAATTTTCATCTTCAGGGAGGAAAGAATGATAGAGTTTTGTACAGATTGGAGCTTTGGAGAGGCAACGGCACAAGGCCTCCCGGAGGCAGGAAACTTGTAGGGCTGAAGATGAGTAACAATTCATGTCCCTGCATTGGTGGTTTTCACGTCTGGGGTTTATTGAAAGGGTTATCTGAGGCTACCTGTAATGGCTTTCTTCTCCAGTGTAAACAGTGAGAGCTTGGCTCATTGAAGCAAAGCTGTTCATCTGATAACCTCAGCTAAACTCGTGGCAAGATTTGGCCACAGCAGTTTCCAAACTGGTGTTACAATTATACCCCCAGGGTGCTGCTCTAGTCCACATCTATCTCGATGGTTCTGTCTTGGTGATTCATGGTGGCTGTGAATTGGGACAAGGCCTTCACACCAAAATGATTCAGGTGAGATTTGGGTCCATTTCCTCCATTGTGGAAGAGTAAAGAACCAGACAGCCAGTTCAATGGCTTTTTCCTTTTTGAGCAGGAAAAATAACATAATACTAAATGCAGGTCAATTGAAAGACTAATTTTGATTTCAGAAACACAAAAATGCAGCGCAGGTGAGGAAAGTGAGTATTAGAACTGAGGAGATACATTGTATTATTCTTTCTGTATACTAATGAACCGAGTTCGTGGGTCTTCTGAAAAATGTGATCTCACTATTCAAAGATAAAATATTTTTCAGTTTTATAGCAACTTTTCAAAGCAATCCTGTGTGAATTAAAAATCTTCATTAGAAATGACTATATTTAATAGAATGAGAAATTATGTTCTTAGAGTTCACAGTCTGCTTCGAAACTCCATGACTGGTCATTACGTGTGCTAATTCTAAGAAGGGTTTCTAATACTGTTGAAAGAGCAAGAGATTCTTTGCAATAGGAAAATGTTCCTTCTTTTTTAAAATATTCAATAATAATTTGTTGAATTTGAAATTTGAATCAAAAATGGAGGCTGAGGGGGACAGGTGGGCAAAGCCTGGCTCTCAGTGAGAAACAGAAGATTTTTTTTTTAAGGAGAGAACATTATTTAATAGTGTGCTTGGAATTAGGAAATCATGAAAATCCACAGGGGCTTCTTCGTATGCTTCTTTACAGTAAAACCCTTTTGACTGTAAAATGCCCCACGAAGGAAACAAAATCTGCTAAATTGTCTGTAAACCACGAGGAGAAGGTGAAACTAAAACAATAAGAACAGGACTTCAACCTTGCCTGCATGTGTCGTACTAAACTAGATGTGACCACCATACTGCCACACGGCTCCTGTGAAACTGATATAAAAGAAAACACAGAAAGATTCTCTGATTGGCCATATGTCTCTGAAAAACAATGTGTCTCTGCACATTGCCATTAAAATCTTCAAACTCATATAAATCTACGTATAAAACCCAAGATGCTCTCTTAAATGTCTGTCACTATAGGACAGGCAGGTTTTATACTCCGTTCAAAAAAGAATTAAAAGGTTTTTAACTTGTGGGGAGGGAGAATTAGAGTCAATGAAATCAATATTTTTCTTGGGCTTCCGGCAGGTGGCGAGTCGAGAACTAAACATCCCCGAGTCGTACATCCACCTGTCTGAGACGAGCACCATCACCGTGCCCAACACTATCTTCACAGCCGGGTCGCTGGGGACAGACATCTTCGGGAGGGCCGTGCAGGTGACTTTCCTTTCATTCCTTGTCACCCAATGACCATGCTAGAGGGGATCTTGTCTGGAGGGGAACGTGAAACTGATGCCAAGAGGAGTCAAGCAGCTGGTTCTAGAACACTCAGCTAACCACCAGCAGAGCCAAGACTCCAAGTGGGTCCAGCTCCCTCTGTGGGCTTCTTCTTCCCTCCCTTCAATGAAATCTATGCACAGTTTTTCTAATCACTCTAAGATAACTTAAAATCCATCAGTCACTTTCATTGGCAGAAATTATGTCACTTAAGTAATTTAAATGTCCAGTCCAAAATTCCAAAATGTACTTCAAATTGCAGTGTCTCTGTTACTCACCAGCTCAGGCTTGGAGGAAAAACACGTGGGCTTGGCTTCTCTCCATTTCCCTTGCTGCACTTTCTCCCCTCCCAACCCCCACCTTCCTAGCCCGCATTTCAGATCTTTGTAAAGTCCAAGGAAGAGCAAGCACAAAGGTCAGAGGCATGATAGGTCTCACTTGGCTGGCATCAGTGTGATCTGGCCTGGTTACATCTGACTCCTTCCCTTGCAGATACCATGGTGAGCTCCTTAGAGAGTCCCTTCTGGGCAGCTCTGACCTGGGCAGTGCCTTTCCTGTGGCTTTAACCACTTGTGAGGGGCCTCAGACCACCCTCAAGCCCCAGACTACCTCCAGCCTCTTTCTACTGAGACACCTCCCCCCTTGCAGGAAACCCTGACACATGGCGTCCTTTTAAAATCTAGAGATTAGAAGTTACCAGGAGCTGGGGGGCGGGGTAATGGGAGTCATTTCTTAATGGTTATAGAGTTTCTATTTGGAGTGATGACAAAGTATTGGAAATAGTAGGGATGGTTGCACACACCAAAAAATATACATAGGAATAATATTGTTTTAAAAAGTCGGTGGGTAAATTTCAACTTACAACATGAAAACTTCATTTAGGACAATGCGAATATTGCTAGGCCACCTTTGAGACAAAATAAAATTCTTTATCTCAAGTCTAAAAATGTAGGAAATCTCAAAGTGGAGCTTTCCCACTCCCTGGCTTCCGTTGTCTGATTTGGGCTGAGCTGTGTCCAGCAGATTCAGAGAGAGCCAGCTGGGAGGAAAGGAGGACAGTTTGTCACCTGACTGCCCTTCAGACCTTCTGCAGCTCTGCAGTGGGCTTCCATGGTGGGTTGATTACTAAGAACTTTAGAGGCTTATCGCTTCCCAAGGCTCTAGATTATTTGTCAGTCAACTATCATTTCAGATTTTCAAAGGAGCCATATGGCAGAAGCTGAGACATCATTGGCTGCAAAGATGACAGTGGCTCCAGCCTTGATGTGAATAGACTGTCCATCAGCTGTAGAAAGTGGAGTTGTTAATTTCAGAACCCCAGAATTTTTTAAAAATCCCAAGTCATTTATACAGGAGTAAAGTCTGGGAAATGGCTGTAAAAGTGCCTGATAGGAAAATCCTGAATAAATTCAAATTAAAAGCAACAGTAAGTGGATTAGGTAAATCAATACACATTAGTACATTTATACAGAAATAGAGATTGACTAAGTATTAGATACCACAAAGCAAAGAGAGCAACAAGCAGAGAAATTTGACTTCATTTTGATCTCGTCTTTCTTCCTAATTTTGTCTTAAAATGGAGCCATTAAATACAGAGAATTCAATGAATTAGGGGGAAAAATTACCCCAGGCGGCATCTGCACCATAGATTCTACCCAGAACACCTGCACCTTTGAAGATCATCCGTCAGTGAGAGGACAGCACCGCCCTCCAGATGACCCTCTAGTGCCCCAGGCTGCTTCAGGCAGCCTCCCACTGTAGACTTGTGTTCAGAGGCAGACGCCATTCTGCAGGGACCCCAACTCAGAGGGTCCATATCGAGCTCTCTGAGTGGCTTTGAAGTGCCTCTCCCCGGGCTAGGCGTGCAGAAAGCTCTCCCTGCCCCTCCTCCCCAAGAAGGTGGGGATCCCAGCGAACCAACAAAATCCTCTCCCTGGTGCCAGCCTTTCGGTCCCTTCAGCGTCAACCCTTTGATACCACTGAGGTGGGCGAGGGACCGTGTGGCCACTCTCTGCATGACCTACTTAGGAGGTAGGGCATCTCCATTTGGAATGAGGGGCTATTTGCCAGCTACCGTACGGTCTCATCCTTTTGGGTCCTTAGCCTATAATAAGCCAGAAAAAAAAGGCCTTTAAAATCCTTCAATAAATAATGAATTATTAAATAGTAATAAGGAAGAAGAAAGAAAAGCAATGGCAGGTGCCATGAATCAAAATAAAGGAAGTTGTGGAAAGAGAAAGTGAGTGTTGGGGTGTCCATCTCAGGCAGCAGGAAAATCATAGGAGGCACTGAGTAGGGGTCCCCGCGCCTGGTCCTGACGGCAGCCGGGAGGGAAGCCCCGTGGGAGCGAGGCCGGAGAAGAGGCGAGAGCGGCTGAGGGGTGAGGCTGGGTGTGCGTGCTCACTGCTGACGCTGGATGAGGATAGAAGAGGGAACATTGCACTACTCTCTCTACTTCTGTGTATTTTGTAATTTTCTATAATGCAGAGGAAGCTGGAAAAATTAGCAACTGGCATTTGGAGCTTTTGGCATTTGGATAGGGGGAGGCGTGACTCTCTCAAGGAATATAAGGTGAGAGAATCCTCCAGACAAAAAGAGGAGCTCAGGAGGTCACAGAATAATGGCAAGTGTCCTCTGCCATAGCTCACTCTCTTAAAGGGTTTCCTGTTGAGTGTAAAGTTATGCACAGGAGTATGCGTTCAGGGCACCATACAGGAACCACAGCTCACCTTTGGACAGGCGGGAACTCTGTGACTGAGGTTGCCTAGATGTGGCACTCTTAATGAAGTCAGCATTGAGACTGAATGAGCCAGCAAAGACAGATATATGAAAGTAAGGATCTCCCTAATACATGAGAAGCCAGAGGCCATTTCCCAAAGAAGGGATGATAGAAAGGAAGGAACAGAAACCAGGAGAGGGTGTGAGGGGTGTTCTGGGGCTGAGATGAATAACTAAGGGCACACATGTAAATAGATTTATATTTGAATTAAGAGTGGAAACCAAACTGGGGCCCACTGACACCCAGGGGTCAGCAGGAGTAATCTCAGGGTCTAAGATTTCACCTCAATAATTTTTATTTTCATTTCAATGATAATCTTTGAAAAATTAAAACAAGCACATTTTTCATCACTTTATAAGTGAAGTATTGCCATGAGATGTCTTTGCCCACATTTGGGACCAAGGCAAGAAGAAAAGAGCAGAGTTGGACTTGATACATAAGTGACGTTTTCTTGCCCACTGAAGAGCCGGTGATGGCAAGGTATAAAGTGCATATGAAAATCCTCAGCAATTTAATTAGAAGAGTAGAGAGAAAATTGATCCATCAGGCGGCATGCATTAAGCACCCAACTCTAAAGTGTGTGCCTCAGTAGTGTTCCCCACATTCCAAGCAGCAATTTAGTTTCAGAAAAACAACATCAATCCACTAAATCAGTGTTACTTTGAATTTTTATTGCTATATAGATTGATTTGCATGTTCTGTCATTTTATTTGTGCTTTAGAGTTACAAAACAACTATAAAGGAACTCTAAGGAGACTCTAGCTTTATGTTAATATGTGTTTAAACAATAGTATAATAAAATAATTTTAAGCCAACACTGCAGGATCCACAAAGATATTTGTTTCCCCTAGAGGGGTTCCATTCATTACTCAAGTTTACAAGACACTGCCCAGAGGACTAAGAAGCAAATTCACAAAACTGGCAGTCTATATTTGAATTGATTTAAATAATTACCGTTTTGCTATCCCCTGTGCTTTTCATTTCTAATGTCATTTCAAATATTTATTTTTAGAACGCCTGCCAAATCCTAATGGCCCGTCTTCAGCCAGTCATCAGGAAAAACCCTAAGGGAACATGGGAGGAATGGGTGAGTGTCATCCCTGCCAGGGAAAGGCAGACTCACTGAGATGGGTCAAATCCTGAGTGCATGGACTGATCCGGGGGCCCATTCAAGAAGCAAAGCACTTACTAACATTTACTTCTGCTTTTCCGAAAGAGTAAAAAGCGATGTCTGTGGTCATTGAAACATGACCTTATTTCAGAGCCTAATTTCTCACGGAGCATGATAACAGCACAGGCTCCAAAGTGAAACACCCCCCTGGCATTGCTGCCCCTGCTCTGTCACTGCTGGCTCTGAGGGACAACTACCCACTCTGTGCCTCTGGTCCTTGGTTTTCTCACCAGACCGATGGAGATGATAGCAGTCCTGATATCAAAGGGTTACTCCATTTTTAATAATAATTACCATCATTATTATTACTACCATTCGTATTATCATTCCCAGCCCTACCCAGTGTACTCCAGCAGGGAAGCTGACATAATTTACTGAGACAGCCAGTTGAATTATTTGGTAAAAATACACGCTTATATACATGCATGCATATACACACGTACGTATGTGTGTATACATCTGCATATACATATATACATACCTGTGCTCACACCTAATGTACATAAGTACATGAATGTGGCCTAGCCAGTTTTCTAACTTAAAAAACCAAAAAGGATGAAAAAAATAATAAACTTTATACTGCAGTCTCAAAATACAGAGGGTCCCAGAGCACAGCTAGCAGCTGCCTGGAAACACCTTGCTTGAAAAGCGTGACCTGTGGCTCGTACAGGCATAAGTCTGGCTCGAGGAGAATGTGGGTGCAGAGCTTGGTGCAAACAAGAGAAGGCAAGCCCCTCACGGAAGGCCTTTTTCATTACTTTCCCCAAACTTAACATTTCTTTGTAACCAATCATCTCTTTCAGATTGCAAAAGCCTTCACAGAATCCATCAGTCTCTCAGCTACTGGATATTTCAAGTAAAAGACGTTTTTACTTTGGTTTAGATTACACTTGGGCAGGGCTGGTGTGGGCTCACCAGTCTGAAGAGATGCCGGGAGAGCAGTGCAGCTCCGCCGGGCCGGTGCTAACCCTCGGTCCTGGGTCATGCGGTGGGGAGTCAGGGATCGGAGAGGGCCAGGGACTTCTTGCGACCACAGCTGTTTACAAGCCAGGAGGGACACCATAGCCACCGACAGACTCTCTGACCCACCCCAGGCACTGCGTGCTGCAGGGCAGGGGTCAGACACCAGTGGGCCTTCTCCCCTGTGCACGGTGGTTCTCTTGCAATTCTGATCACCACGCCCCCCTGCAGGAGAAGGGGAGCGATGTCTCCAGACGTGGGGTGGGTGCTCTGTGCAGGGACCCAGGCTACAGCAGGCAGTCAGTCCACGAGTGGGGAAAATGCCTTTTCTTTTCATTCCCGATTTCTCTTCTCAGAGGCTACCAGACAAATATGGACTGGGAGAAGGAGGAAGGTGACGCCTACCCGTATTACGTTTATGGCGCAGCCTGTTCTGAGGTTGAAGTCGACTGTCTGACGGGGGCTCATAAGGTGAATAGCGACATTTGTGTTCACCCTCACAAATACTGTGTTCTACAGTGTAAACCAGCTGATCTTCCCTGTGGAAGAACCAGGGACAGATAAGTAATTTTAGTAAAGGTTGACTTTGAGTAAATAACATCTTCCATTATATATTTTTCTCTCGGTGCAGCTCCTTAGGACTGACATCTTCATGGATGCTGCTTTCAGCATAAACCCAGCCCTGGACATTGGACAGGTGCGTGATACCAGAACCACCCCAACGGGGGCTTTCGGTGGGTTCCCTTCAGACTGTTATTTCCCAGAGTCCTCTAAGTGTTGTTTACACCTGGTGCAAGTATTCTGCAATATATAGTGTATATTACACACACATATTGGAAGAAGAGGCAAGAAAAAGTTAACAGCAGTTGTCTTTGCATGGCAGGAATATGTGCGATTTATCCTGCTTTATAATTCTCTGTGCTTTCTAATTTTTCTTCAGTGAATATTAATATGTTCAGAATTAGGGAACATTATATAAACATACAGTAATAAAGTTACAACAATATTCATAGTAATATTGAATTTAATTAGACCACAATGTGGAGAAATACAAGGGAAAAAGAAGTGTTAGAACAGTTTTTCCCCTCTTACTGAATTTCTGATTTTTATCTCACAAAAATATAAAATTAACACAGCCAAAGTCTTTTTAAATTTCGAGTTAAAACTTTTCCAGCTGTCAGTGTAGCTTTGCTCTTTTTCTAGCCTGTTACTCACAGTGGGTTCCTACAGACCAGCTGCATCAGCCCATCGCAGACTTACACAAGCAGCGCCAGAGGGTCAGCTGGTGCTCGGTCCACACCTGACTAGCAATCTGGACTGGCTGAGCAGCTTGGCATCAACCCGACAGACCTGTGGCGCTTTCCTGTGCCAATGGCCTCCTGCTGTCCTAAGTCCTAGGGGACTGGTCTATCTAGACTGCTTGCTGTGTTTTATAAGGAACAGATGGGCCCCTCGGTATTTCTCAAAATGTGGTCCTCAAATCTGCAACAGAAGCACCTTTAGTGTTTATTGGAAATGAGGATTCCTGGCCCACCCAGGCCCAGACTTGCTACATCATATCTTTGCTAGGCTGAGACTTGGAATCTGCACGTTTAACCTGCCCTTGAAATTCATCGCAAGCCTTTAAGGTTTGAGAACCACAGCTAGCCCCAGGTCCCGTCTCCCCTTCCCCCTTCTTTCCCCTCCTCCCAGCTCATTCCTGCCTCTTTATTGCTTAAGCAGAGGCAAAAAAGGAGATGTCATGATCAGGAAAATCCTACATTTGTCCCATGGGAAAAGGAAAGAAAACCAAAAGTGGATTAGACTGAACTCTTGGAATTTGATCTTTTCCTTTACAGACAAGCATTTGGAAATATCCAAACTTATCATTTAAATTTGTTTGCCTTATTATTTAATTTTATATTTCAATAAAATGCAGACTGTAACTCTCCAATTTTTTTAACCTCTAGGCAGACACCCTTTTTAAACGAGACCCTCTTTTTCCTAAGAGCATAATCGTTTATAAACAGAACACAACATGGCTTCTAATAAAAAATATTTAACTTAATAATATTCCAGCCCACCTTGTTTAACATTGATCTACTCTCTGTAGTAATTTATAAAGGAAAGTAATGAAAGCTAGAAATTATAATAAATACAGTTTCCTGGCTCCATTTATTCTAGTTCATGTTTCTTTAATGTTATCTTCTTTTTTTATCTAATTCAGCAGACATGTATTGAGAATTCATGTTCCAGGCACCATGCTAAGAACAGAAAACGGGAAGGCCAGGACTCGATGTACTTATAAACTAGCCAGAGAGAGTGAAGCAAGAGCAAGAGCAAGAGCAAGAGAGTAGACAGGGGACACTCCCTCAGAGCCACCACGATGGGGGAGTGCATTCAAGATGCAGTGAGCCTGGAAGTGGCAGTTTCTAAATCCACCCAGGGGTGGTGGGAGGACCCAAAAGGCTCCATTTTCAGTCACCCTGGAATACTTATTCAACCAATATTATATATTTATCAGCTGAAATTTCTGCCTGCAGGTTGAAGGAGCATTTATCCAAGGCATGGGACTATACACCATAGAAGAACTGAAATACTCCCCAGAGGGTGTGCTTTATTCTCGGAGTCCAGATGACTACAAAATTCCCACCGTCACTGAAATCCCCGAAGAGTTCCACGTCACTTTGGTGCGTTCCCGAAATCCCATCGCCATCTATTCATCCAAGGTAAGAGCTCAGGATGTCTGCGTTAGTCTGCTAGGGCCGCTGTAACAAAACACCGCAACGGGGCTGCTTAAACAGCAGAGATATGTTTTCTCACAGTCCTGGAGGCTGGAAGTCCGAGATGAGACCTCATTTCTTTTGAAGCCTCTCTTTGGCTTGCAGATGGCCACCTTCACACCGTGTCCCCATGTGATCCTGTGTGTGCTCAAGCCTGATGTCTCTGTGTGTCCTAACATTTTTTTCCTCATAAGGACACTGGTCATGTTGGATTGGAGCCTACCCTAAAGACCTCATTTCCACTCAGTTACCTCTTTAAAGACCTTATCTCCAAATACGGTCACACTCTGGGTGCTGAGGGCCAGGACTTCAACATATGAATTTGAAGGACACAATCCAGGCCATAAAACCTACTCCTTTAAGAAATAGTGAAACAGTCCCCTGAATTTGTTTGCTCCTTGGAATTGCAAATCCCAAAAGGAGAAGAGAAAAGCAATCATTCACTGACTTCAGAAGCCCAAGTAAGGTCTTCACTCTTGGGAGATTATGAAACAACTTTAAATCAAACAAGAAGGGTCAAGGAGGAGTCACACATCTTGGGTCATTAGGCTGAGTGCCATCATGAAACAAAACTGAAGCTGGAGGCAAATTTCACTGGCTCAGAGCCTTCTCTTCTGCAACCTTCCCATGTCCTCCAGACTCAATTCTTTCTTTCTCATGCTGCCTCTCCCCACACCCTCCCCAAGTCAGAATGGACTTTCACACACGTTTCTCACTGATCATTTGTTCTGAGGTGTTAATGGCCACTGATACAAGAGGTGTTGACCCCACGCTAGGCTCTCACTGACCCATAAAGACTTTATGGCAAGGTTTCTATAAAAACACCACTTTTCCAACTTAAGTTCTATTCTGAGCCACATCTGCCCAGACAAATGGCAACTTAAACCTCAGGATTTCAGAGAATTTTCTCTCTTTCTTAGGAATAGGTCAAGGTTGGGAGGAAGGTGAGATTTCCTGTCTGAATGGCTTCTCTCTCCACTTCTGCACCAGGCTTTGGCCAGGGAGTCTCTAAAGACTATCCTGACACAGGGCACGACCCTGACTCTTGGGGTCTGGCCACCTCTCTGCTCTCACCCACTCCTCCTCTCCTCAGAGGAAACCCCTCCTTCCACCAGCTCCACCTAGTGAAAACCCCAGCCTAGGAGAGCCAGGTACATAAACTACGTGGGCCCTTTGTCCCATCTCTCCACTAAGGCCCTGGACACAGATCAAGAGCCAGACTACTCTGAATAAAGAAAGAAGGAAAAGCAGTACAAAGGAGCACTGCTGAACTGTTCAAAATATAATGCCACCACACTGTTCATTCAAAAGCACCCAGCACACATCAGGGAACATCAGGGAAGTTAACACACGTGAAAACTTCAACAGTTCACCCTCCAGAGCCAACCACCTCACTGTCTTTCAAGTTCAGCTACAAAGATTGTGGTTGTTTTGTTGGTTTTGAGTTAAATGCAAATGGTCTGGAGCCCAAGTTGGAGTATCCTAGCGGGCACTGAGGGTTTCTGTCTCCAGGACTTTACCTGGGGTGTGGGCAGGGGCGGGCCCAGGGACAGGAGCTGCTATCCTGATGTCCTGGGGCATTTTCTTGAGCTACTCTGAGGAAGACTCCACACATGGCATGGGCATGGGGGGGATTTGATTCTGGTAATTCTGATGCATTCCACTCGGAGGGTTATAAAGCCAGGAGAGATGAGTGTGTGTGTGTGTGTGAGCATGTATATGTATGAACACAAATCAGTCCTAAAAGAACCACGAGTTTCTGACAGTCTTTCACCCTCCTTCTCAGGGGTTGGGTGAGGCTGGAATGTTCATGGGATCCTCCGTGTTGTTTGCCATATATGATGCAGTGGCCGCTGCCCGCAGAGAGAGGGGGCTGACCAAGACCTTCACCCTGCATAGTCCAGCAACTCCTGAGTTGATTAGGATGACTTGTGTGGATCAGTTTACCGACATGGTAAGGCTGTTGTAACCACCCCTTACATGGACTGTCAGGTTCTTAGTATGGATTTGATAACCATGAAAAAATTACAGGGCAGCTCCATCTTTTCCAATGAAAATTCTCATTCTGCCTCCACTTGCTACTTCCTATATGCTTCAAACTGCAAACACAACCACAAAGTAAGTGCCCCTCTTCAATTGATGGTTTAATTGTTTCAGACCCCAAAGAAAAGCACACTTAATTGAGCCAGTGCTCAGAGCAAGCAGGCATGGTAGGTTACTTCTTTAAACTTTTTGTCAAGATAGAGTTGATGTGGTATTTTAATTAACTCAATCACTATATTAGATTAAATAGATATCTGAGATGGTCAGTTATTCAGAAAGTATTGTTAAGCAAACTAATAAAAATAATTTAAAGGAAAATATCAAGTTTCTAAGCACACTTTGATATGCCTTGTAATCACACACTATGGAACACAGTTCAATATACCAGCTGCTAAAAATATATCTAGAACTATCATCAGAGACTATTCTTATATTGAACTGAGTACTGCAGCCCTAAATGAGTCTCTGGCATAAAATTAGATTGCACTTTATGCCTCCAAAATTACAGGGCTTCTGGGTAAGATGCATCTTGTCCCAAACATAAGAAGTTTATGAGGATAAGGAGATTTATGACTCAAAGATTGAGTGAAAAATTAAAATTGTGTAATTGTGATGAGAATAAAATGGATATTGACTTATTGTTTTTTAAAAAACAATTTTTCTTCTGAATCACTTCTTTTCTCATATGACTACATTTTATTAATAACTTTCTTTTGATCTTTTTTAGATTCCCAGGGATGATCCTTCAACATTTACACCTTGGTCCATCCGTGTGTCTTAATCCTATATTTTCCTCAGAAAATGAATGAATACAAGATTGATCTTAAAATTTTCAAACCCTAGCAACATATAGGTTGGCCCCCAATTGTCATGGATAATTCTAGCATCTTTTAATTATTCTCTGTGGTTTAAGTCATTGCATGATTACGTTTTAGGATGCACATTTTCCCCAAAAGGTATAAAGAAGCTTAGACTCAAAAATTCTTCCTTTCATTTGCATTATCCCGAAGATCTACAGCATTATGGTTTTAAAATATGGTGGAGTTTCATTACCTTGGAACAACTCAAGGGAGGCTGCTTGTACTTTGTTCCACAGAAATCTGCTTACCTTCAAACCGTCCACCCCAAAAACTCTCAGGATTGCATTCCCCAAAGCCAGTGGTGTGCTGGTAATAACCAGCTCCCCTGGAAAAATCCATGACTTATGGTGTTTGACAGTTTCCATGGAGTAAATACTCTCACACTGGCCAACTCCAAGTCACTGACGTGAGGTCTCTGAACGTAGAGTTGGAAGAGATGCTCGAAATCAACCCTCATGGTCCCCAGCACTGCAAGCCCACCACGACCCTAGGGTTCCTGCCGCTTCTGTGCAGCCTGTTCAGATGAGGCTTAGAGAAGAAAACCATCCAGAGCCTCCAGCTGGTCCTCATCTGCCGTGAGCCACACACTTGGTACAGCATCTTCCCTGTCTGGGAAACCACACGGAGTGAAACAGCTATCTGAAATCACTCTGGTGTGCCTTGCTTTGGCTCAGTGTCTGAAGGGTAAAATCAGCACCACCCTCCTTTTGCCACATCAAAGGGATGCAAACTCCTCAGGCTTCTTTTCCAGTTATTTCCTAGCTATTTTACATCGCATTTTCTCAGGGGAAGGCAGTCTTACACCAGAAAAGATGTTCAGGCTCCTGTAAGGTTTAAAAACACAAATAAACTAAATCATTTGTTGAGATCTGTGTGCTAGATATTAAAGCTCTGCATTGATTAATAATAATTTTGTGGTGCAGGAATAAGTGTGTAGCCATTGTTTATGTGTGTGTGAAAGAAACCAGGTTGGAAGAAGAGAAGGCTGGGAGTAGAAAGGAAAGGCCTCTTTCCCGAGGAAAGGCTCACAAGTCAATGTCTCTTATTCTAAGAGAAGTGTGTGTGTGTGTGTGTGTGTGTTTACATATATCTTTAAATGTCTGTTTGAATTCACCTAGTAATCTAGATTGCCTGGAACCCAGCCCACAAAAACTCTATGCCAGACAGAACAGTAAAAATAGGGTATATTTTTCTAGCAGTAAAATAGGAAGACACATTAATCACAAACATAAATTAATTTTAAAAGTATTATGCTTCATAGACTGTGTAGGCAAGGCCTCTGATAACAGAAATTGAATTTTCACTAAATAAGTCTGATCACTTCAGTAGTATTTCATTAACTTGGACAATTGGGGTTAGAGAAGAATTTAAAATAATAGTACATTTTAGGAATAACAGGTTTCAAACATAAGATTGCTATTCTAATGCCTTTAAAATTTGACAATTTATAGTGTCTTGTATTATAAAACTAACCTATATTACTAATTTAGATAAATATTGTTATTGTCTGTTTAATTTTAAATGTTATTACAGTAATAGTTGTGCTACAAGCGTAAGAGATGATCTTTTTATTTTGAGGGGAGGTAATTAGGTTTTAATTAATTTATTTATTTCCAGTAGTGGTACTGGGGATTGAACCCAGGACTTTGTGCATGCTAAGCACACACTCTACCACTGAGATGCTCTTTTTAACCAGTGGACCCAGTAAATGGCCGAGCACCCTTTTGATAATAAAAGCACGTGGTCATTATTAATTCTGGGCACAACTGTGCTTGTTACTCATAGAAACTTACCCTCTCTGTTTAATTGTGGGCTCAATAAAAGTTTGTCAGAAGAGAACATGTGGCAGGTGCTACCCTTGCTGTAGTTTGTCCTTTCAACTTAAAGGATCCACAGGGTCTAGGCTGTTACTTCTCCCAGACCAAAAGTTTATGACAGAACAGTTTTGCACCTTCTTAGAAAACACTGGAGAAACGGAGTTGAGCTAACAGTGCTGGAGAGGAATTTGATTTCCATTCGGTATCTTGACCCTGCAGACATGTGCATGCGCTTGGGTTCTAGATATGGGCAGGGTTGTGGGGTGTCAAAAAGAGGGAGAGGTCAAAAGGGACAGGAAAGCTTGGATATCTATGTTGTTTCTTTCAAGGGAAAGTCTTTAACTTCTCCACACCTGATATTTTCCATGATGTAAACTGGCCATATTCTTCATGCTGTCAGAGCACCGGGTATCACAGGTTCAGTTTTCTGGGAGTAGGTGTTGAGACAGAGTTTAAGGAGCAAGATATTTCTTAGGGATCAACATCTGATAAGGAAAGGTTGAAGAAGCAGAACTGGGCTGAGGGGGAAGTCGAACTGCGATGCCAGTCCCCACGCCCCTTCCCGAAGCATCAGGAACCCAACGGGGAGCCCTGGAGCCATCATTGCCCCACCGAGTTGTCCCGCTCAGGCTGGAATGTGTACCCCTATGTGACTCAGTTCCCCACGGGCCTGCCCCCGGAAAAGCTTGACCTTGAGGAAGGAGGCTCCTCTGCCCCACGACAGACTCCAAGGGCACTGACAACTGGAGACCATATGCTGACAGCCCGGGGTGAGTGGGGGCAAGTCCCTCCTCCAGCAGGAACTGCAGCAGCTCTCCTCCAGTCTCCCACAGAGATCTATCCAAGCAATCCTTCCTGACTGGTGCATTTACTAATACACAGATCTTACATGGTATAAGTAACAATTCACACTGTTATACACTGGGTGAATGCCGTTATAGAAAACAATGATTTTACAGTCAAAGAAATTCACAATTTACATATATATAAGTGACATTTTAATATTTTAAGTCAGCACTGGCCCCAGAAATTCCATGTTATATGTTTGCTGTATGCTTTCCTTCCTTGTTCAAATGAATTTGATTAAATTCAGTTATCAGCACACTGTGTGCCAGACGCTGTTATGAATTACAAATAAAACCTCAGGAAAAAAGCCTCTTACCTGAGTTTTATTATCTGGATTTGATAACTAGGTCAAGAGAGTTGATTTGTTCTGAATAAATAAGTGACTGTGTAGAAGTGTTCCAGAAGATAAGATTTTCTTCAGAGCTCTAGAACCCTGGGCCTGGGATGACAGATGTAAGGATGTAAGAAGCATTATAAGAAAGCACAAATTTATCCCCAGAAGTCATGGAAATGACCAAGTGTTCATTGTAATATTTAATATCCAACCTTCCTCAAAAATTATAGTCAAAGATGGTGTTGGGAAAACTGGACAGCAGCATGTAAAACAATGAAGCTAGAATACACCCTTACACCATATACAAAAATCAACTCAAAATGGATTAAAGACTTAAACATAAGACAAGATACAATAAACCTCCTAGAGGAAAACATAGGCAAAACATTATCTGACATACATTTCAAAAATTTTCTCCTAGAAGAAATAAAAGCAAGAATAAACAAATGGGACCTAATGAAACTTACAAGCTTCTGCAGGGC